ATGTTTATACCTATCCTACCCTTATGATAGGGAGACCGCAGACACTAATGCCTTACTCCCAGGCCCGGAATTACAACGTTTACTACTCGCACAAATGGCGTAATTATGTATGTTTCTATCCCCAGCGCTTTCTTCGAGGGTAATATGTTCTAACCTGATTGATTTTCAATAGGGCATATTCTGGGCCTTCGTGATTTTCAATTTCATGGCCGTCTTCTTCTTTTCGTGGCTTTATCTTCATGGCGTAAGAAACATGAAGAAAAGTATTAGTGCACGGAAATCGAAGAAGGCCGTGAAACAGTGATGGGGGGTGATATGATATCATCACATTTCTACTGTACTACTAGTATATTCTAATATTGCTTAATTTCTCTTATGCACACAATCTTGGCACCAGTTACTCTGCGACTCAGTTTGTCATTTTGCTTATTTTCAAGTTCTGAAGGATGTATAATGTTATCATGTGTAACCTTAGTAATATATATCAGCCAGTGAGGGCATAATGCTATAATTTGCACATTAGATACTCTGCCAATCTTATTTTTTCTTTTTCGATAGACGAGAAAAGTGAAAATGCAGCGGTAGTGCCATATTGGATATTTACATCCAGCAGAGAGTGTATGCTAGGTTTCTCTCTTTTTCCTCCCAAAGATAGTATGGAAAAATCGGTAGTCCAACACCAATCTTCATAATGGTTTGAAGTCTTGGTAGCTAGCTCGGTGGATCTCCAAGATCATATGCAACAACACATTGATCGAATAAACACGCACACACGGCGATAAATTCCATCTTCATTTCGAAGCCATACTCTGGAGCTGACTCCGAGAAGAATATGATATGTCCATCAAAGGCCAACGATAAAATTTTACCCGGAGCAGGATGGCGGGGGCGTGGGACCTGCAGGGTTGGCCGGGTTTGAAGCTATCCCGGATGGTTGGGCACTAGTTGTAGTCCAGGAAGTAGTGGAGGGGGGAGCGGCAGCGGGTCCCTGGTTCGTAGCCGTAGTCGTGGTTGTAGATGTAGGAGGAGGGGGCCCAGTAGGAGCAGGGGCACCGTCAGGAGCGTGCGGAGGGTTCTCGATGTGGTGACCGTTCATCAGGCGAGGCCGTTTAGCTTGCGGACCGTCGTCGGGACTCCGGGTGCTGTCGTGTTGGTGCATATAGGGCGAGGTCTGCTGGCTAGGAGGCGCGGAGGGTCCACCACCGCTCGTGTTTGAGGGGGATGGGCCGGGGCTCAGGGCCGACGGGGGATTCAACATCCTGGAACGGGTTGGGTCGTCGCTGGTGGTTGCGGGTGCGGTGGTAGTTGGGGGGTGTCTGGGTTCTGCGCTGCGATATTCATCCTGTATGCTGTTTGCGTAACCGATGCCGACGCGGCCCATGCCTCTGTCGTGCATAACGACTCGTTTCCATTTCGCGACGACATTGTCGTAGTCCCAGCGAGAGGCGGTAGGGCTGATTTGGCTCTCCTTGGCATCGAGTTCTCGGGCGACGTCTCGTGGTAGTGGGAGCGTGTCGGGAGGAAAGATTGCGAATTCCCTTGGCCATTGGCAGGAGCCTAGTCTTTCTACCTGGGCACGAAGTTGGTTTGCCTCCTGTTGGACGCGCGCGAGCTGGTCATCCAGCGACTTTCGCTTTTCCATTTCTCTTGCGAATGCGCGCGTGATCTCGAGCTGCCATGCGTCTCTCCTTGCATCTGTCGGCAGTGAGGCCCAGTGCTTGAATGCCAACTCCAAGTGCCGCAGACTTAAGTCTTCGTGCTGCTGCGCGCTCCGGCTGATCATATTCGAATCTAGGCCTAGGCTTGGCCTCCCTGACTGGGAGTTGTTGTTGGACTCGGCGGTGCGCTGATCCGACTGCCATTGATCGATCTTCGCGCGAAGTGCTTGCCGGACAATGTCCAGATGCTCCACTCCCGGCGGCTGGAGAGGGAATGATGACGGAGACGGGAATGGACTTGTTGCGAATAGACTGGGAGGGGGAGGCAGCAACTGCAGGCAGAGGGAAGGGAACGTTTGCGCCTGAATGTCGAAATCGAACGGGGAGAGTCTGGGGCGCATCCTGGAACTATAGAGCATATTTAAATTAGCCCTCCAGTCGATCATGTACTAACAATGCCGTCGAATGAAAGCGCAGTTAGCAATGCCAGGTGATGTACATACGTTGCAGCTTTGATATTATCTAGTACTTCGCGCAGAGCCAGCTCCAATGCCCTCATGGTATCCGGATTATTTGAGCCACCTCTATCCGGAAATGAAAGCGGCCCAGTGCGTGATTGCGAGGGCGCAATGCGCGAGTGAGACGAGCTATTATCCTGTGACTGGCTAGGATTGGGAATATCGTTGATCACACCGGTCGCATGCCACGTAGGCGTGTTGAACATCATCCTATACGCACCATCGCGTGACTTTGAGCCCGAATCGCCCGGAGTGTAGGAGTCCTGCTGGCCTTTGCCTGTTGTTCTCTCGGGAGTATCGCGTCTACCAGAGGAGGTACGGGCCTGTCGGCGAGTGATACCGCTCCGAATGCGCCGGATTTCCTCAACATCATGAATACCGTCCGGTTTTTTCTTGAAAAGGAATTGATCCAGATGGCGACCGAGGGACGAAGAGGTGAACGCTTGATGGCAATACTGGCATTTCCGATCCTTCAAGGCCGGATTCTTCGCGGCACTCGAGGCGGCATTGTGATCATCACCGCCGGCAGAGCCTTCGGGGGTTTCTGTCGGACGAGAAGACGCGCCTTCTTCCATGTTTCACGAGGACGCGGGGGTCAAGCCAGGGAGAGAGACGTTGTGAAGATGGTAACACTTGGAGGGACGCGTTCTATGGAGAGAGTAGAAAGAGCTATCACTGGGTTGCTGCAGCTCAATGCATGACCATAGAGGGTTGGAGAAGCTGCGTCAATCGAGAGGGAGGACACAGTGGTGTGGAATGGCGTCGGGGACGCAGTAAGAGCTGCAGATTGACAGGCAAGGAAGAAGGGGAGGGGAAAGAATTACACGAGGGAAAAGTGAGGAGAGGAACGTGACGATCGAGCAAGAACCGCCAAGCTTTCGGTCTGTGGGGATCAAGAGCCTCTGGTTCTCGCCCGCCGCTTTGACAGATTCACTCTCTCGATCCAGGAGCTTTCTGATATAGAGAGAGCTCTGAGATTCTGAGCATCGACTGGTTTGTAACATGTTTCAGGCGTACTCAGAAAACCCAAGCTGTGCTGCAATGTGTGTGGGGATCCATCGGTTCTCACTACGAATCCATGAGTACCATAATCTTTCTATTCGTAGGGAATGTTGATCTTTCTTCCGCGGTTGATATAGGTCCTACAAGGGAGAAGTAACCTATCTACGACGAGAAGAGAGAAGTGGGATGGAGCAATGAAAAAGCAACAACAGACATTGGGACATGAAACACGATGCTCCAGCAAAAGTATTAAAGTAGTAAGCACTTGCTTGTATCTTGGAATATATAACACATTTTACTGCCTCTTTCAACAAGTAATCCGATATGGTGTAGTGGCTAACATCGCCGTCTCTCACACGGCAGCCGGGGGTTCGATTCCCCCTATCGGAGCTCAAACATTTCTTTTTTGTTTTTGCTCAGATGATTGATGTTTTGCACCTACGATTACAGTGCGTCCAGTATATGGTTTTTCTCTTGATTCGCTCTTTTTGGACCTATTTTTCTTTTGAAGTAGTTCGCAGATATTGAGTACCTCCGATCTCCCTAAATACACTTCATAGTGGTAGCAAATACCATAACGGCACACCGCGATGACTTCGCGTGGATGCATAAGTCAATCCGTACCAAGTATATATTTCCGTCGATATCTTCCCAACAGTCAATATTTCCATCGTCCTAGTGTTCCGCTATTATACACTTATCTTGGATCGACTCTCACATACAATAGTAGTACATCCACAAAGCCGACCCCAAGATTTCCTAATGTGCTGGTAGTTCGCTCGGCCTCTAAACCCCCGACAACGCTAACTACACTGATCCAATTAATGCCCCATAGCATCAACTTGACACCGTAAAGATCCTCGAGTTCGACCGCATATCATCATTCATTGACCGCTGCAGCGTAACAATGCTACTTCTATCCAATCATACGTACTTCTTCATAACGGGCCACTATCCGATAAACCAGCCACACAGAGCAGCCAAGACAAGAAGGCGAGATACGAGCAACCAACCACACGGCAACGGCCAGTTTCGTCACATCTACACAATTGAGTCGCTACTAGTTAGTATCCCATCACATCCGGCCATCGTAGAAGCGGCGAGGGCTGTTTTGCAAAGCAACACCTCCCCGCCTCACTTGTTCCAAGGAACATGGTGAATTTCTCGTGTTCAGTGACCAACCATTGGCGGAGGCATCGGGACATGGATTGATTCCATCCTGTTGTAGTCTAGTAGGGAACAAGTCTCGGTTTCAACCCCGGGTTGAATATAGTTTGGCCGTGGCAAAGCTAGCATGGATAGATCGGCGGGCACATCAAGAGCTTATCGGGTGTGTCGGAAATGTCATAATATAATGGATGTAATTAGTCGCCCCTAGATCTCCGAATGAATCCCGCCGCCGATTTCTTCCTCTAAATCATGTAGAGTATGAGCTGAGCTGAATTTAAGGATATCACATTACACCTGTAAGATTTGCATGTTAATGTACAAGAAAAAAGAAAGAAAATACATCTCTGGAGGAACCGAAGATGGGAATGCCGAGACGTCTCTTTTTTTGTTCGCCTCCGACAAAAGCAGAAATACACAAGGATGCAAGGCTGTGCAATCCAAAATCGCCGGCAAAACCCTTTTTTCTCAAAAACACATCTTTTAAGAGAAGGGATCGAAGCATGAATCGAAAACCTCTATACCATGCATCCTGAAATGATATGACCCAGCCAACACCAGAGAAGAGAGACACGAGAGAGGAATATAAATAATATGGCAATATTGCTGACAACGGCGGGGAAATCGTAGGTCTTAACGTGAAGCGATTGGTAAATTAAGCGACGGCCTTGTCGCCGGACGGAGGGGCAGGAGGAAGCTAAAGTAGTGGCAAGTCAGTACTCAATAAGCTTCAGCAATGAGGTGTAGCCTTTGCAGGTCGAGTGGCCACACGACATCAGAGACGAATGTGGGATATGATCTCACCTCTAGTTTTGTGTTGTCGGCCATCATTCTCTGGAAACCGATACCGACACCCTCAATGACAGCCAGGAAGACAGCGCACATGATAGCGGAGTTTCTGGCAGCCTTAACACCACCACGAACGGCCAAAGCACCACCAGTGAAGAAACCAGCAATGACTGCAAAGTGTGAATCGTTAGCTATGACACCCAATCTCAAAGCGCATAGAAACAAGATAGCAATCCCTCACGGATTGACCGGGAAACATACTAGCATTGTAAGGATCTTCCTTCTTTCTGATACCCTTGATCGCACAGTCGAACGTCGAGAACATACCACCCCAAACACCGAAGTTACCACCGAGAACAGGCGCACGAGCCTTGATGGCTGTGATGGCACCTATCCGGCGCTCTCCGTAGGGGCTGTTTCTGAAACCCTTCACACCGTGCCAGACAGCACCACCAATTGCCTATAGACACAACATATGTTTAGTTTTGACCCATTGGTAACAAGCACAATCGATTGCTAGAACCAGTGACGTACACCCATGCAGAAAGCACCACCGAAGTCGCTAAGAGCAACCCAGGGGCAGGGATCTCTGGAGTGATCCATTTCGAATATGAAGAAAGAAGAGAGGACCGGAGAAGAAGGAGGGAGGCGAGTGGAGTCGTAAGCTCGAAGACCTGCTGTACTGGTCGAGCTGCACGGATCAAAGGAAGTGTAGGTCGAAGGAAGGTGACTCTAAGATTATCCGGACGAGGGTCGGAACGCTGGGGATGAAATAATCGGTAGTCGGGTGATGAGCCTCAAGGGGCAATCGGGATAGGATGGAGGAGTTGAAGTCGGAATGACAAGCTGGATGCTGTCTTTAAAGAACAGAGTCTGGGGTCCGGGACGGAGAGGATGGCGGATCGCGACAGTAAGTTTTTGGCTTTTTTCGCCGGGAAACGTGACTTCGGACGGGGTCGCAGTCACGTGCAGATAACCACCCGAAATGTCCCATCCGGGCATCCAAACAGACCGCGCCCTGGTTTTCGTGGCTGTGGCAAGGGCCTCTAGACGCCGGGTGTACAATAAAAGAAAAAGTAAGCAGGGATATGCAGGTTAAAGTTTTCCTGTGCTTTGCTTAGCGGAAAAGACGGCTCATGCATTGAAAAAGAACAATGGCTATTATAATATCCAGAAGTGATCCAGCACCTTCCGGACCTGCTAACTACAAGATTGCTACGATGGCAGATTCCAGATGAAATTCAATGCTCCTCCTTCATATGCTGGGAATTGTCCACCAGTGCTGATGCCGAAAGGTGCCATCGACGGATCAAACGGCAACGAAAGCCAGTCGTCGGCGGCGATGCCGCTCAATGATGGAATGTAGCTCACGTCTGTCATATTTTGCGAGGCAGGGACGCCCATAATAGCGCCATTGTCGCTTTCCATGCTCTGAGAAGGCGCCATAGATGGCTGTGTTGTTGCTCTATGGTTGTGCTTTACCGATTTGGAGGAAGCTAACAGGTTGCGTCTTAAGCGCGATACGTGCATCTCTAGTAGAGCAGCATACCGAGAGCTCAGATGAATATCATCGAGCGCATTAGACTTAAGCGCCTGCACGCTACGATCAAGAATGTCCAGCGATTCACGGAGCTTTGCAGGCCGGGTCCCTAAACTAAGAGCTTTCATCAGGAAAATAGAGGAACTGGTGACTCGAAGGAAGATTCGGACGGGGGAGAACCGCAAGGCCCCAGTTTCACCCAGTTGGGCCACTTTTTGTAGTATTTGACAGCAGCCTTCAATGACCTCTTGGATGTACTCATAGTCGATTGGATCAATATTGGTGGCCCGGACTTCTTCCGCATTTGGTTCACTGTCTGCAACGGCACGTTCAACAACTGCCTGCATCCCAACTGAGTGGGTATAGACGCGGACAAAATGATATTCTATAAAAAGGATATCGAAAAAGTGCTTGCTGAGTACTAAAAGGAGTTAGCATAAATCAACAATCGTATGCGGAAAAGACCACCTAATTCAAAGGGACGATGCCTTACCCTGTGGCCGAAGATGATCATCTTTCCACCTGACAAGTAGCGTACGGAAGTGATCCAACAGATCGATGTACCTCCCACTATGGAACTGCTGTCTCGCAAACGACACGGAAGGAAAGAACGTGTCAGTGACAGATTTTGCCAGCTTTGTAAGGTCCATCCAGGAATCCATAAACGCTAGCCATTCGTCCCCTGGTTGGCCCAAAGCCCTGCTTGTCTGTCGACCTGCAATAGCATGGCTTAAGCTCTGTGGCATAAGTGATACACAACCTATTCGCCAGGCTAGCTGATTGATATATACGTATAAAAGCCGTTGTACGCGCTGCCTGCGGAGCTTAATTTGGTCATCGGATATGGACCCTTCATATACGGATGAGTAGTCGCATTTCTTGTCATCCAGCTCGAAGATACCAAGTTCATGTGCAAGCGACAAAGCAGAGCCAAGCAACATCCACGACATTTGGTCGGATCTCTTGGCTGGCTCGATCATGTCTTCGAGCCACCTATCGGCCGATGAACCTTCCGATTCTTGGTGCTCTGGAGCCAGCACCAGGTCGGAATCCCATCCGTCACTTTCCGGGGGAAAGTGGAGAGACCTAGGATGCCATTCTGACATCAATAAGAGGGCCTCAATTGTGCCGATGCTCCTTATTCGAGTGTGAGACGACTTCTCCTGACCAAAAATTAATCGCACCACCAGCTGCTGGCAATGCTGCCAGAGTCGGTGGTGAATAAAGAAGTTCCTTGATTCGCCGCCAGCCCCTGGCAATACATGGTATCGCGATGAAAGCATCAATATCGTACAGCATAAGACAGGGTCCCGCGTCACAAGCCAGTGGTGATTATTGTGGTCCGCATAAAAGTTTGTTAGGATAGGAGATAGCGGCGTCATATTCTTGAAGAACCTGACATTGTCAGAAAATTTCATAAGAATGTCAAAATATTGGCACTAACTGGTCGATCAATGTGACGGCTTCTCTTGAAGTGAACCACCCCATCTTGACAAAGCGACAAGTCTCCCAAACACCGAGGACCTCTTTCGAGACAGAGGAAAGCTTGACTGGACGCTTCGCCTTGGCTATGGCCTCAGCAGCAAACATAGTCTGCGCATGATCACCGGAGTGGTCCACGTCGCTGACCTGTGCAGTGGAGGCCTGTGTATTTCGTGATTGTTTCTCAGATCGATCGGAGCTGTTCTCTTGGCTGTGAACCGCTGCCGCTTCGAAGAGAATATTAAGTGCATCGTTTCCACTTGATACCACGGTACGCATCATGGAGTTTGCCAAGGTAGACGTGGAGTGATGACGGTCACGGCGGTTCTCAGGACGGTATGGCTGCTGCGGGCTGTTATAGCTATCCCCACGTTTGCCATTGTCACGAACTGGGCTGTCATCAACCACCTGAAGTACATCGTCCGGAATGTCTCTGCTACGTTTGGGGGTGGCAGATAGCCTCCGACGTACATTTGAAGGTGGCGTGATGCCTTCTTCTGATGGACCTACTGGACGTCAGCCATCCTGATCGTTAGCAATGCCGGAAGGGGTTGACATCGCGCACCTCGCTTGTTTGTCCTCTCCCACGCCCTCTTTTCGCTGAACACACACTCCCTCTGCTCTCTACGACATTTCGCACAGGGCGGCCCTAACGGGAGACCCTCCGAGTCTGTCCCCAGATCGCATTTTGCCTTTCTCTGACGACAGGAGAGACAGGCCTTGTAGGTCCGCTGGTATGCCCGGTTCAAGGCGTCTCCGCTGCGGGACGGCCCCCTAACTTCCATTACTGAGAACGTAGCGGCCCGGCCAATAGCATCTTAGTGATAAGATTGAGGTTGCAATAAAGAGATCCGGATATTTGGCTGGTTAGTAAAGGGCTTAGATGTGACGGGTATCAAAGGCTCATTGGGAGCGGATATTGCAGGTGGGAAAGGAAGAAAGGGGGGATTTCGGTGGGGAGCTACAAAATACCCGCCGATTGCCGCGGCGGAGGCCGCCTGGAACTATCCGAGCCCTTTCACCAAGCCGGGCGGAGGACAGAGATATGACAGCTGACCTCGTACTCTCCTCCGTGGGATACGAACCACTGGACAGCTGAACGTAGCTGAGATTCCAATCGCGATATCAAGGTCGAAATGGTGTCAAAGATGGTCGGTATTTGCTGCTCATGGTGTCATCGAGAGCTGCTACGGAGTCGTCCGTATACGCTGCATGTTATGTCATCGTCTGCACAAACCAGCACCATCCTGGTTATCAGACTTTATGTTGAATGCGACGCTGTATGCCAGGGGTATACCAAACCCACAGTTTTGGCTCTCTGGGAACCAAGATTCTAGTTTTTGTCTAGAACATATCCTCGAACCAGGCAAACATAGACTGCCGTGACGTCAACTCAGCCCAAGAAACGAGCAGCTCCTTCGGGACCCGGCAGGCCCCCCACCCCTCCCTTCACAAGAAGAGGATTCAGTGTTGGAAAATCCGATTCACACTATTATGCCCATGAATAACCTTGTCCAACCCGGCAGTATGGACAAAGTGACTCCTCGGGAAGACGCGGCAACCCACGCGCGTCGCTCCCAGCTCGGGCCACTGCTACGGAACGCTTCCGCAGTATACGAATGGCAGATGCATATGATTCTAACCACCACAACGAATATACTGAATATATTCATTTTCACCCCAGTAGAACGGATAACGTGTTGAAAAGTATGATCACATGCAGGTACTGTACCACACACACCCCGCAACGGTCCAAGCCCTCCGCACCTCCGCTGTAACCTAAGCCGTAGAATAGTAGTAGCTGTCACCCATATAACCCACATACTAGCCTACTAGCTATACTATACTACAGCTCTCTCCATACACTACAAACCTCCACACAAGCCTACAAACTACATTCTAAATAGCCTACCAATCTACACTACCCATCTACAAATCTACAAAACCAAAATGTCCGAACAAACCATAACCCTGCACACCTACTTCCGCTCCTCCTGCTCCGCGCGCCTCCGCATCGCCCTCAACCTAAAATCCCTCCCCTACACCTCCATCCCCATCAACCTACTCAAAAACGAGCACCACCAGAGCCAAAACACATCCCTAAACCCCTCCGCCAGCGTGCCCACCCTCATCATCGAAAACCCCGATGGAAAATCAATCATAATCCCCCAATCCCTTGCCGCGCTCGAATACCTCGAAGAAACCCACCCCCAAGCGCACCCCCTCCTCCCACCACTCTCCGACCCCACCGCGCGCGCAACAGTCCGCACCCTCTCCAGCATCATCGCCTGCGACGTGCAGCCGGTCACGAACATGCGGATCCTGAAGCGGGTGGCGCCGCTCGGTGTGGACAGGGAAACATGGTCGAAGGATTTAGTGGAGGATGGGTTCCGGGCGTACGAGGCTATTGCGGAGAAAACAGCAGGAAAATATAGTGTTGGAGATGAGATTACCTTGGCGGACGTATGTCTTTTGCCTGCTGTTTGGGGGGCGGAGAGGGTAGGTGTGGATTTGGGGAATTTTCCGGTTATTAAGGGGGTTAGGGAGAGGCTGGAAGAGGTGGAGGCTGTGAAGAGGGCGCATTGGAGATGTCAGGGCGATACGCCGGAGGAGTTTAGGGTTGGTGATAGGCAGTAAGGCAATGGTGGGATGAAATGATGGAAGGTTGGTTTTTTTTCTTTGGTTTGGGGGGGTAGTAGTTAGATAAGTTTCAGTTGGTTTCATGGTTTTTGTCCTAACTATGTGGGTTTGGATTGACTTTCAGTATAGGGCGGGTTTGGTGGGTCTGAATCTGGATGTTACGCCTACAGTTTGACTTGACTCCGTGACTCCGCGGACTAACAGGGAAGAAGAACGTTCTGGACCACGTTTTCTCTTTTGGTATGTAGCATCTCATTGTTAGGTTCACATTCACATCATATCATATCAATGCATACAATGGGCTTTGGGGACTCATGACGTGCGATCGTGCGATAAGGGACTTGCAATTGCAAACAGTCTAGAATTCCAACTTCACCGCGGGGAGAATAGTGGCACTGCAATCCCCGAATCCGACGTAGTTGCCTTCTGTGCCCGCCTTGCCCCTAAGGACGACGGTGTCTCCGTCTTCGAGGAATATCCGTTCCGAGCCATCGGCCAGTTTGAGAGGCTCCTTGCCCTTTGTCTGCTCGAACAAGCTGCCTTGTGTCTGGGGCTCTGTGCCAGAGATGGTTCCACTACCGAGCAAGTCACCGGGCCGGAGGTTGCATCCCGTAATGGTGTGGTGGGCCAGCATCTGAGGGAAGGAGAACAAGAGGTTCTTGGCGTTGCTCCGCGAGACGGTTGTAGGCTGGCCGCCTGGGTTGGTGATTTCGAATTCGAGGGGGATGTCGAAGACGTTGTCGGTGCGCTTCTCGCGCAGGTAAGGCAGGACATTTTCCCGGTTTTCGGGCTCCAGGCTGGGGACTCGGAAGGGTTCTAGAGCGTCGATCAGGACAACCCAGGGGGTGATAGTAGTTGCAAAGTTCTTGGCGTTGAAAGGTCCCAGGGGAACGTATTCCCAGGCCTGGATGTCACGAGCGGACCAGTCGTTCATGAGCACCAAGCCGAAAATGTGGTCTTCGGCATTGTTGACAGAGACGGGCTTGCCCATGTCATTGGGGGTGCTGACAAAAGCAGCCATCTCTAGTTCAATGTCGAGTCTCTTGCAAGGAGAGAAGATAGGGACTTTGGGAGTTGCGGTAGGGTTGGCCAGGATCTGACCGTTGGGACGGTGAATGGGGGTGCCTGAGACCACGATGGACGAGGCGCGACCGTGGTATGCGACTGGCAGGTGCTTGTAGTTAGGTTGCAGAGCATTGTCTGGTCCACGAAGCAAGACACCCAGGTTGTAGGCGTGGTTGAGGCCGGCATAGAAATCTGTGTAGTCTCCGATTTGCATGGGAAGATGGTTGGTCACCTCCGATAGCGGCAGGAGAGCCAACTTTTGGAGGGACTCATTGTCTTTCAAGACCTGAGGGTAAGGAGTATCGGCGCGAAAAACGGACTGGATGTACTCGCGGACTTGACGGTGAACTGGTCGGCCCAGAGCTGCAAAGGCATTGAGGGTGGGCTGATTGAACACGTTCAAATGGGGCTGGATCGCGGGCAGCTGGGAGAAGCCCCCGGATGAAGCAAAAGCGTTCAGGTTCAGCGCATAGTCACCGATAGCAATAGCTGCTACGCGCGATGGAGCTTTCGCCGAGGTGATGATACCGAATGGAATGTTTGCCAGTGAGAAAGGCGAGTTCTTGGGAATCTGCAGCCAGGAAGCCATAATGAGGGAGGACGCGGTTAAGGACGGGAGGATATGAAGGAAAGAAGAGTAAATGCAAGTAGTTTGTAGCTATCCAGCAGCAGCACCGGAGACACAACTGCGATGCCGACGTTAAAAACGAATCTAGTGACAAGTGCCCCTCGAGGGATTCCGATGGAGGAGAGGAGGGCAGCGGAATGCACTCCGCGCCCGCTTATTGCCGGCCGGCGCGGGCAGTTCAGCTTCCCCGCCGGCCCCAATTCCGCACCCCCGCAGATCCCCGGTTTTCCTGTTTTGTTCCAGGAACACCGAATCCCGCGAATCTCCTGAAAATTGAATGGGCTTCTGCTGGTCTGCCGATGGCGCATTCCAGTCCCGTGCTGCCCCCGCCACCCAGGCACATGACCAGGGGAGAGCGTGCAGGTTGTACAAGCTAATTCACACTTATATAACCTCCTTGGCTCAGAAGTGCTTGTGCAGTTAAACGGTCACCAAGACTGAAGCACTGAACCACTACCCACCATGCCCGTGACTAACTTCAAACACGCTGACCCATATTCCTACCAGAATGGCTTTGACTCGTACCATGAGTGAGTACATGAAGAAAGATGTCCGGGTGGCGCCTGTCGATTGTTAAGTCTGATTGATCCCTACTACTAGGTCGGAGGCTATCAAGGGAGCTCTGCCTATAGGACAGAACTCGCCACAGAAGGTGCCGTATGGGCTCTATGCCGAGAAGCTCTCGGGAACCGCTTTCACTGCCCCTAGACATGAGAACAGACAGACTTGGGTCTACCGCATCCTCCCCGCGGCTGCTCACCAGAATTTCGTGGCTGAAGATGGCGACTCATACCACACTCATATGACCACTGAAACACAGAAGCTTCATCACATCCCCAACCAGCTTCGGTGGGACCCCTTCGACTTGGATGAAACTGTGGACTGGGTTCACGGTCTTCACCTTGTTGCTGGTGCCGGTGATCCCACTCTCAAACATGGCCTGGGCATAATTTTATACGCTGCGGGCAAAGACATGGGAAAGGAAGCCTTCTACTCCGCTGACGGCGACTTTTTGATCGTGCCGCAGCACGGTGTGCTAGACATCCAGACTGAATTGGGACGCCTCCTGGTCCGGCCCAATGAGATCTGCGTAATTCCCCGCGGTGTGAGGTGAGAACCGATATTTCCATGTTGTGCCTGCATGCCTCGACTAATGTCCTACAAGATACCGTGTGACTCTTCCGGCAGGACCGGTGAGAGGATACATCTGTGAGCTCTATCAGGGCCACTACCAGCTTCCCGAATTGGGGCCCATCGGATCCAACTGCCTTGCCAACGCGCGAGACTTCCAAGCGCCAGTGGCCTTCTTTGAAGACGAGGAAGAGCCATCCGAATACCGTCTGTACAGCAAGTTCAACAATACGCTCTTCTCCGCCCGTCAGAACCACACCCCCTTCGACATTGTTGCCTGGCACGGAAACTACTACCCTTACAAGTACGATTTGGGCCGTTTCAACACGATCGGCTCTATTTCTTTCGACCACCCGGACCCGTCCATCTTCACCGTGCTCACTGGCCCGTCCGATCACAACGGCACTGCCATTGCCGATTTCGTTATCTTCCCGCCCCGCTGGCTGGTGGCGGAGAACACATTCCGCCCGCCATGGTATCACCGCAACACCATGTCCGAATTTATGGGATTGATCTGCGGTGGTTATGATGCCAAGACTGGTGGAGGCTTTCAGCCGGCGGGCGCCAGTCTACACAACGTCATGAGCGCCCACGGTCCGGACAAGGACGCCTTTGAAGGTGCCAGTAATGCTGATTTGAAGCCGCAAAAGGTTGGCGATGGCAGCATGGCTTTTATGTTTGAGAGGTAAGCAAACTCTCTTCCTTTAAGCCGACATTCACTAACACCATAACTAGCTGTCTCATGGTTGGCGTGTCTGAATGGGGCCTGAAGACCTGTCAGAAGGTGCAAGAACAATACAATGCGCACAGCTGGCAACCGCTGCAGAGGCATTTCCGGAACCCGAACAATTCCGTGGACACAATGTGCAAGGACGACCATTAAACACCGATCCGACGAAGTTACTAAAACCGAAGGTGATTTTTCAGATACCTATGTAGTAGTTGTATTCAATCATAGCCGAATGGAAAATCTTAGACATCTATCCGCATTCATCTGGGTATGTGAGACAAATTGACAAATTGTAAGACACAAATGTAACAAGCATCCAAAGGAGAAAAGCACACTCCCAAAGCACCTAAACCAGCTTAATTACAGAAAATACATCAGATCTTAACCACACCATCACCCACCACCTCCTTCCTCAACGCCTCCTTCACAATCGCCCCACACATCTTCGCATACGGATTCGTCTGTACAGCCAACTGCTGTGCAACCTTATTCCCATACCTGCCCCCGAAAAAGAAATCCCGACTAGCCATATCCTCCAACTGCTCCGGCTCCACGACACGCAACTGATCCGGACCACCAATCACTTCTTCCTGCTTTCTCTCCTTCTTCACTCTCGCCGCTTTGAGCAGCAAATACCCGCGATGCGTATGCGCATCAGCCAGCAAGCGCGCCTGGACCGACGAAACTGGATCAGCAGGTGACCTGGGCGTCGCCAACGTGATAGCGTTCCCCAGGTCTGCTAGTAACGTGGATGCGGGCTGTGTGTTCTCGGGGTCAAAGATCTTGTCATCGTCATTATCATCACCACTACTCTCAGTGGTAGTCTTGGTCTTGTCAATGAGGATACGAAGAGTTTGGGCGCGGTTGACATATGCGGATGGGTAGGTTGGATGTTCGGCGATAAGGGTGTCGAGATCCTTGATTGCTTGTTGGATTGTTGGAATGTCCAAGGTGGTTTCGGATTGCAGGGTGCGGATTATAGAAACCTCGCGGGATTGGAGAGTCTGCAAAAGTTCTGGGGTGATGTTGAGGTGAGATGGATAGGTGGGGAGAGAAGAGTCGATGGTGATGGAGTTAGAGGGGGAGGATTCGGCGTCGAAGAGAGCTTGGAGGACGGCGGAGTCATTGGTGGTAAGGTTGGGTTTAGAGGTTGGATTTGGGGTCATTTTGCTTATAGCCTTTGGAGGAACTTCGGATATTGAGTTACCTGAGACTTTGGAGACGTATATTGTTTTGAAGGGGATGTAGCTGATAATAAGGTAGTGTCTGTAGTGAGAATGCTTGCTATCGGTGACACCGAACTTGGAGAACAATCGTTGGTATTTGAGTTAACCTACGATCATCGGTAGCCCGCGGAGCCATGTGAGCGGAGCTTATCAGAGCCTATCTTATAACAGGATCCAAAATCAGGGGCCGTGGCAATCACCGCATGCATCAGGAGTGGGTGTTCTCATGATGTAAACGAGGCAGCGGATGTTCCGCGGGAGTCGAAATACCCGCCGACAGCCGGGCTTGTCCGGGGTCAACCGACGACATCCGGCCCGGCTGGTTTACTATCCTGGCGTCCTGCAAACTGCCTGTGCTTGCTTATCCTCTACTCTTTCCCAAAACAATGTAATTATGATTCATGGCCGATTCACTGGGTTCGTCTTCTGGAAACGGACCCTCCCGATAACTATTGACAGTGTCAGGAGGCCCGCCGTCATCCGGACTTATAAAGATGGCCCTGGTACCCCCTTTGACCTCTCTGGAAGTAAACCCAAGATAGCCAGGCGCATCCACCTTTATGATACTTAATAGTCTTCTTTGACATCTCCCTTCTATACCCAAGTATTATAGAATCTCTTTGCTGTTTTTCATACAACATACAACTCCATCACCATGGCACCCAGCGCAATCTCCTCTCCTCCCTCTCCTCAACCAGCAACCACCTCCGACATCTCCAGCTATAAGGGGTATGACCACGTCCACTGGTACGTCGGCAACGCCAAAATCACCGCCTCGTATTATGTTACGCGCATGGGTTTCAAGCGGGTCGCATACCGCGGCCTCGAAACTGGCAGCCGTGCCATCTGCTCCCACGTCGTCCGCAACGGCGACATCACCTTTGTCCTGACCTCCCCTCTCCGCTCCCTCGACCAAATGGACCTCCTCACCCCCGAAGAGCAGAAGGAGCTCCGTGAGATTCACGAGCACCTCGAACAACACGGTGACGGCGTCAAGGACGTCTCCTTCGAAGTTGACTCCGTCGACGCAGTATATCAAGCTGCCGTGGCCAACGGCGCCAAGATAGTGTCTGCGCCACGCAGCCTCGAAGACAACAATGGGTACGTGCGGGTTGCGACTATCCAGACATATGGAGAGACCACCCACACCCTCCTGGAGCGCAAGTCATATTCTGGCGCATTCATGCCAGGATATCGATACGAGGACGGGGCCGAGGACCCTATCACGAAGTATTTGCCCGGCGTATATCTGAACCGTGTCGATCACTGCGTCGGTAACCAGGACTGGGATGAGATGGACCGTGTCTGCCAATAGTATGTTAACCACCTGATCGTTCACAGGGGAGTTGCTGACCATAATGTAACAGTTACGAGAAGGCCCTTGGCTTCCACCGTTTCTGGTCTGTCGACGACAAGGATATCTGCACGTGAGTGTTCCCCTACCAGTTACCAAATTCTATAGCAGAAAACTCACGAGATAACAGTGAATACTCCGCCCTCAAGTCCATCGTCATGGCCTCTCCCAACGAAGTTGTCAAAATGCCCATCAACGAGCCCGCCGTCGGCAAGAAGAAGTCCCAGATCGAAGAATACGTGGACTACTACAACGGCGCCGGTGTGCAGCACATTGCACTCCTGACCGACGATATTATTCGGGACATCACCAACCTCAAGGCACGCGGAGTTGAATTCATCAAGGTCCCTGACACGTATTACGAGGACATCAAGATCCGGCTCAAGAAGACCGGCCTGGTTCTTCACGAGGACTTTGAGACCATCCGCAACCTTGACATCCTCATCGATTTTGATGAGGGCGGGTACTTGCTCCAGCTTTTCACTAAGGTATGTGCACTGTTCTTCCCACTTATAATTATATTCAACGCAAATACTAATGAATATGTTATAGCACCTAATGGACCGCCCAACCGTCTTCATCGAAATCATCCAACGCCACAACTTCAGCGGCTTCGGTGCCGGCAACTTCAGGTCGTTGTTTGAGGCGCTTGAGAGGGAACAGGCTCTGCGTGGTAATCTGGTCTAAGTTTTATTTATTTTCTCAGTACAGAACTGCAAGACAGTTATTTGAAGGGGATAGTGTACATTCGGCCAGGTTGCCAAGTACATGATTAATGTTTGTCTTCTTTTCTGTTCTTGATTTGGATATGCTAGTGCTGGTCTGGACTAGTCGGAACCAAACAACAAGTATTACTTCAGGTAAAGAACGATTTGGGATACTGTATAACCAATCCGTTATTTATCGAGTCTTGATTTATTCTATTTATTAGGATAATTGGAATAATAGGAAGTATCTTGAGAGCATTTATCTTTGTGGATGATCTTTATCTAAAACATAACGTAATATGGTCAGTAAGTTGGGATCATCATGGGATCCCTAACTGTATGCATGCCTTCTCGAGTTATGTACAACCCACAAGAAATCAGCCCAAGAGAACGGTCTTAGACACTTCATTGACCTTTATATAAGCAAAGAAAGCTATTCTCTTCAACAAGAATCCGATATGGTGTAGTGGCTAACATCGCCGTCTCTCACACGGCAGCCGGGGGTTCGATTCCCCCTATCGGAGCTTAATCTTTTCTTCTTTTTGTTTTCTTTTCTATGCTTGATTCTAGGTCCTAGGTAGCTAGTGATATTGCCTCCACGTTATTTTAGTTTTTAGGGGGACTTGGTTGGGGGATGTTATTGCTCTTTCCTGGGAAGAAGGAACATGGAGACTGGGATGGCTTCTTGGAGCGGCTCTCTTCGGTGCTGTTGTGCTCCTCTGGTGAATATGCGGTTTTTCTTCCTATCTTATCGGGTGGTTGACAACTAATCATGTATTGCTAGGGGCTGTCGAGCGGGCGATATTGCCTGGTCTAGTGTGGCAAAGCTCAGCTGGGACGGATGCCTGGCTGTTCAAGGTGATTCCACACCTTATTATTTGCTGTTTACGCTTCATGGTGTGGTTTTATGGAACTTCTGCAGGAAATATATGCACTTCCCACGTGGGAATATATATTCATTCATTCGTGTCGCTAGTTTACTACTTTTTCGAAGAACTGGCACCGCCTGGTGTCGTTCCCCCGCGACGCTTATATTTCCGTGGATCTGTATATATTGTCAGTCTTCTGTGAAACGGATACACATAAGGACTCAGACATACCCTTTCGACTCATCAGTACTCTGTTCCTCGTTCCCTTTCCGCCTTCCCAGAAACCGCTTCCGGCTTTCCCAATAAGCACCGCTCGACATATTCCGCAGTTTTCGGGACGGTAGATTTGCTCTCGCGAGCAGAAGCCGCTATATTTGTTAGAATCACTTTGCTGACTATGTCACGATTGAGGGCACGTACCAAATCATACGATTAGCATGCTCATTGGGATGGTCTGTAGCGGCATCGTGGCATCTGCTTATATTAGCTTTGATAGAGGAAGCTAGCATGGTGTTCTCGTACTTATCGCAAGGGAAGACCTTCGCACAGCAGCTAAATCTGTTGCAATGTTAGAGTACGTCAACAAGGGCACCTGCACGATGGGTGTTACCTGAACCACCGATAGCTCTTGCCATAGTGCGTACATCGGCCACGACGAGGCAATTCTTGTCCGGCAACGATGCCAAGGACTTCCTTGGGCTGTCGATAGTGATTAGTGTAATCCAGATAAAAATTTGTGTAGCAAATTACCTTCTTCCGTGGAGGCTCGCGGAAACGAGATGAATCTATTGGATAGCAATCAGCATTCTGCCAAAATTCATTATATGGAGAACTCACATGCTGCCGACCCCACTTTCAGAAACTTGACTTCTGGAATTTTCATGACTGTAGTTGTGAGCGGTTGGTCCTCATTAAGGTAATTCCACACATACCCATTTTGCGGTGACATTGTCGGCAATTGGCCATGGCACTTTCACCTCGAACTGCAACGACACCGGGCGCGGGAAACGCTGTTGAGCATTCCGCACAGGTTGGGATAAAGCTACTGCGGAGGTTGTCAGCGTATGGCTACAATGCAAAAGCTGCCGTCAGATCCAACCTACCTAGGCAGAAGATCTACGACTGTGCATCCATCCAAGTCAAGGTAACCCGCACGAGTGGCGCTAGGATGCATAAGTTGTCGACGGAACCCTAAGTGCGTGTCAATACCCAATACTTTGAATACCAGAAATGAAGTACCTACCAAGGCTCATGGTATTCGCGCATTTCTTGCAGGTCTCGATCTTAGGAGACAGCTCATCGCTCTTGTCCTTGATCTGTGGGATATTCCTGACATCCAATGGCTCCTTGCATCGGTCACATTTGATGGTTATATAGAGACCTACGAGCTCTAAAAGCTCAATCCCGTAAAGCTCCAGAAAAGGGAAAGAAAGGGCGACTCCACGCTCGATCGTCGTAGGCGCCGGGAGATCCGGGACTGGAGCACCGCCTTCCTCCTCATCGTCGTCAGAAAACTCATCCTCAGAAGGAGTCATGTCTGAGTCGTCAGTGCCACTACCGTGTTCGCCCACAGCCCATTCAGGGGGCCGGGGCACAACGTGAACATGTGGCTTATCCTCCAATGTCACCCCTTCTGCTTGAGATGGAGGCTCGCTGGGTACTATATCATCAGATACCGCAGGCGCAGAAGCTGGTTCAGGGGCTTTTAGCGGCGTTTTGGCAAATTTATGCATATTGCTTGTCAAGTAGTTCACTTGAGACACAAGATTCAACTGTTTGTTCCCTTCAAGCCACTGCGAGAAGCCAGCTTCCACAGCTCGTCCTTCTGGGCTATCAATGCCCTGCAAATGAACAGTACTCGGTTCAAGAGGATACAAGCTAGGCACTAGGAGCTTCACTGTCTTAACAGAGCGAAGAGAAATAGGCAGACGATCTAGCTTAGTCGGTTGAATCGGGATGACGAAAGACAGGCCATCGTTGGACTTTTGAAAAAGAGGTAGCCTTCCCAGACGAGCGTCGAGTTGCTTCGTCTCGACTGCTCGTCTTTTCTCCGCCTGAGCCTTCTCTTCCGCGGTGTATACAGGAGCCGGAGGCTTAGGACTCGCTTTTTCCACCGGAGCCGGATATGTCTTCTTCCCAGAAGACACAGCTAGAGCACTCATATTTGACACTATCTTCTGCTCTTCTGACTGCTCTTTGCTGCCCACATTAGGCACAAACTTCAACGTCGGCCCCCGTTCCGTAGTAGTGAGCAAACGTTCCAGATGCCGATCAAGACTGTTCATCCAGCTGAGCAAAGTCCCCCCACTACCACTTCTGATAGTGCTGTCGACGATATCATCGAATCCTCTCGAGATATTCTCCTGAAACGCACTGCCCATTTCTGGATTGGTGACTTTGATAGACGGCCGTCCTTGCGCCGGATACGTCCCAGGAACATGCAAAATGCACTGAAGCTTGTCCATATCGAACGGAAAGTCAGGATCTGAGGGAGCCAAGCCAAAAGTCAATGTCGTTCCTTCGTCATTGCTGGTTTCTGTCGGATGGAACCGTCTTCTGAGCTGGTTGAGCTGGAACTCTCGCGGGTTCGAGGCTTCCGCTTTGGACACTGGTCGTTGACCAGAAGCGGAACCAGTACCCACCGAGCTCCCTGTTTGCGCGTTGCTCATGTTGAAGCACCTTAAACCAAGCTGTTGTAGGATAAATCGAATGGTCTGGTGAACTACATGGCAAAAAGCAGGTATCGGAGCGGATGTATATTTGCGGGCGGCGGGTGGAGCTCACGGGACAGCTAGGCCCAAAGGGGTAAGTAAGGCGGGCGAGTGACTGTCCGGATGGCATTTTGAGTCAAAAGCTGGTCGCCATCATCATGACTCATCTTTTGTCGTGATGTCTAGAGTCCAGTTGACTGTTTGACATCAAAGTGAACTGAACCGAAAGCTCTCGAAAGCTAGGCATCTACAGTTGAAGCCACATAGTGGCGATGCGAACGATAAAAAGGGGGTCAATTTTGGAGAGGCCGGTCCAGGCAAGATGGAATGGTCCAATGACGGGCGGGCGTATCCAATACGATGGCAGCCATTGCCCCCAATCCACTAAATGCTCCAGACACAGCTGTGAGTGGCCAGTGCGACTGTCAACATCACTGGAGCCTTGCATGGTTCGACACTTTATCCAAAGGATCTTCAAGTGGTCTGATTCGGCTCAGGAACCACCGCGAGCAATGCCTCCTTCCTTTTGGTCACAGTATTCGCTTACCACTACGATGGAATGGAACGATGCAGCTCAGTGCCAGGGGTGAGATCTTGGGGGTGATATCTAATAGGTCATTGCACCTAAGGCTGTTTACGTTAATCTTCAGACAGTCATGAGCCGACAACAACCTAGTACTTCAATGTCTTGCTCTTGACTTCCTCTTTACAACAATCTTTCTCATCAACTGGTCCTTGTCCCTGCCTACAGTCGCTTTCAAGATGGCATTACTTGCTGTCGCAGGCGTCTACGCTTTCGCAGCGTTGCTCGTTGCGATAGTCTTAAATGTCACGCGCCAATTGCTCTTTCGCAACGAGAAAGAACCACCCGTCGTCTTCCATTGGATCCCCTTCTTGGGAAGCACAATCAGCTATGGAATGGACCCCTATACATTCTTCTTCTCCTGCAGAAAAAAGGTCAGTCACCGTTCATCATGCGGGGGCCAATGATTACTGATCAAAGTGGTTGAATAGTACGGGGACATCTTCACCTTCGTGCTTCTGGGCCAGAAGACCACTGTATACTTGGGCGTTCAAGGCAACGATTTCATCCTCAATGGCAAACTCAAGGACGTGAGCGCGGAAGAGGTCTACAGCCCCCTCACCACCCCGGTGTTCGGGTCCGATGTTGTGTACGACTGCCCTAATTCCAAGCTGATGGAACAAAAAAAGTTCATCAAGTTTGGCCTCACGCAAGCGGCGCTCGAGTCACACGTCCAGCTGATCGAAAAGGAAACTCTCGACTATCTCCGGGACTCTCCACGCTTCAACGGCGCGAGTGGAGTCATTGATATTCCTGCTGCCATGGCTGAGATTACAATCTATACTGCTGCGCGCGCGTTGCAGGGCGAGGAGGTCCGCAAGAAGCTCACGGCAGAGTTCGCTGAACTGTACCACGATCTAGACAAGGGATTCAGCCCCATTAACTTCATGCTCCCTTGGGCTCCATTGCCGCACAACCAGAAGCGTGATGCTGCTCATGCTCGGATGAGAGAAATCTACACGGACATTATCAACGAACGACGCAAGAACCCAGACGAGGAGAAGTCAGACATGATCTGGAATCTGATGCATTGCACCTACAAGAGTGGCCAGCCGGTCCCGGACAAAGAGATTGCTCACATGATGATCACTCTGTTGATGGCAGGGCAACACTCGTCTTCTTCGATTAGTTCTTGGATCATGCTGCGATTGGCCTCGGAGCCTCAGGTGCTTGAAGAGCTCTACCAAGAACAGCTGGCCAGCCTTAGCAACAGAAATGGAGTCTTCGAGCCGCTGCAGTATCAGGACCTTGACAAGCTGCCATTCCTCCAGAGTGTCATCAAGGAGACTCTACGGATCCACTCGTCCATCCACTCGATCATGCGCAAGGTGAAAAACCCGCTACCAGTACCTGGCACCTCTTACATTATTCCCGAAGACCATGTTCTACTCGCCTCACCAGGCGTAACCGCGCTTAGTGACGAATACTTTCCTAACGCAACCAGGTGGGATCCGCATCGTTGGGAGAACCAGCCTGACAAAGAGGAGGATGGAGAGATGGTGGACTACGGATATGGCAGCGTGTCGAAGGGCACTGCTAGTCCCTATCTACCTTTTGGCGCTGGCCGTCACCGCTGCATTGGAGAGAAGTTCGCCTACGTCAACTTGGGCGTTATTATCGCGACCATAGTGCGCCACTTGAAGCTATTCAATGTGGATGGCAGGAAAGGAGTGCCCGGAACCGATTACTCGACCCTCTTCTCCGGTCCCATGAAGCCTGCTATAGTGGGTTGGGAGCGACGCTTCCCGGACCACTCCAAAGGGTCCTTGAATTAGGCCACCTTCTTGCAGGTTACCTTTCGTCTCCAGTCTTTTCCCAACTAGTACCTTGTAATAAGCATCCTGTATGATTAGAGCATTCAGTCCATAGCCAAAGAAAGAGATATGACCGCTGACCAGTCAGCATAAAGATCCAACATCCCAATCTTGAACCGTGATTGTAGACAAACCGAGGGTGAATGAATGAATGAATGCACGTGAGATCCCTCGTGTCATCATTCCACCACCTGTGAAACTTGCCCCCCTTCCATCCGAGGGTCAATTTCCACTTACCTTGACATGCGCATCAATACAAGTGCTGTCCGTGTACCAGCAAAACCGCGTATATGAAATACCACCCCAGGGCAAAGAAAGCTGCATTGAGATAAGGCGCACACATGCGCAGGGTGGCGTCTCAGAATGAACAAAAAGCAAGTAAATAGAACAGCGAGGATAAGGCTAGACCCATCTCGCCACAAAGCAAAGCAAAGTAGAAGAGGCATTTGACCTATTGTTCCGCGGGATGATGTACAGAATGCGACCCAGAGCCTGCTCCTGAACACTGAGGCTGAGCGCCAGCAAACACACACACAGCGCCACCTGCGGGAGAAGGGCCCGAGTATGTCAAAATAAGGATACGATATGGGGAAGGTGGAAGGGCGTGTGACCGACAGAAAAAGCTGCGGGCCGAAGTGTCAGACCCAGTGATGGATAGTTGAAGGTTTGATAATAGGTTGAATAGATTACCTAGACGGGGATAAATTGCGATCATAATGACATAAAAAAAGTACATGGGGGGATTTGGCGCTGATCGACAGGCCTGGACCTGGAATACGAAGCCCGGAGGAAGCATCCAGAAATGGATGAATCTGCAGTGTAGTATACCTAATGTAGGGGACGGAGGCTCATGACAGATTTGGTCGTGAAGGTGTGTGTGTGTGAAAGGCTGACCTCATCGCCGAAACAGGACTGCAGAACAAACAACTGCAGAGTGGCTCTATCATCATCATCATCCACTTCCAGGATCAGAATCCATTGAATGGAGCCCTGAGGACAAGGTATCCTGCCTGCTCCGGATCACGGGCGTGTGATGTGAAAAAAAAAAAAAAAAAATTAGAAGGAGGGGACATAATATCGTAAAGATCGGCGGGAAATTCGCTAAGCAATATTAAGAAGCCACTGAATTGATGACTTGTCAGCGCGTAATCCCGGGATTCCAGGAGGAGCAAGGGAACATCCGCAATGTGATCGAATTGCCAACGCAGAGATCTGGTGACCCGGAGATCGACAGTCGCCAGGTCCTACAACGCTAGAGACACAGTCCTCCGGCTCCCAGCACCGGCAGACATGGGGAGCAGAGAGGTAGAGGGAAAAAGTACCTGAGCTGGTTTGAAGAAAAGGCTACGGACAAGAGGAGGTTTGATTTCGCGTGTCTCTTTGCGGGGCGTACAAATGATGCTGACTGTTGTTGCAAAGAGGCCAGCCGCCATGTGACCACGTGATGGGGTCGGTCTAGCAGTGCTAAGCGCATTCAGGTCACCTTATTCGCACTTTCTCTTGGGCAGATGAACTGGATACGAATGCTAGGAGAGGCAATACTCCCGTATTGTGCCGGCAGATGACGATCTTTGGGCATCGCGGGGAGAATCTGGGGAAACATTGACCTTGTGGATCTGTCTGTCAGAGCCGACTGCAAGTATCGCCAGCTGTGGATGTGGAATACTGTGCAATCTCTCGACTGTAACCATCTGACGTTGACCTCAACATGTCAGTGTGTCTATCTTTGCTTTTCCCTGACCCCATTCTGGCATCTGGCGTCGTCTTGTGGCTTGTATGATGGGAGCGCGCATGTCCACTGATCTTCTTCACGTTGGCCACCACCCTGTGGATGTTATACTCTATATGGACATATATACGTACGTCTGAAATAAGGCAGAACTCCGGTTTACGAGAAGAAGAAGGTCAGTAGGTGAAACGGTTACCTAAAGTCCTAACCCAGTGTACCCAAGTTGTTGGAAGGATCCTATATCGAGTATTCGGCAGAGTTTCACCTAACAATGCAGACAGCACAGCTCCTGATAACCGGAGAATTGGTTGCTGCTACCCTCCATGAAGAAAGGAAGTTAAACCTAATCGATAACACCGACACTTTGGGTCTTCCTTCATTGGGATTTGGCCAGCGATATTCACCCGCTGTGAAGTCAAGCGCGGATGATGCTATGATGATTCCCGACCAGGCTATGATGATAACCCCGTTAACTTGTTTGCAAATGAACATCGGTTGCACAAAGCAGGTAGACTGAGAATTCTCCGGCTGGCATTCGCAATAGGACTATACACGGGGTTATGATAGGCATGGGCATCCTGTTTTTCGTCCACATTCCCAAGAAAACAAATGATAGCGAGGTGCAACGCTCCACCAGCCTCTTCGAATCACTGCCAGCGACTTTCATCTTCTAGTTTACCCGTCTGGTATAGAGCAGAGGCAGGGCAATGCAAACCAGTCGAGTTGAATAAGCAGGCGAGTGGTACAGCACAAGTACCTCCGTATGTAAACGGGGCTATTGATACCGACGAAAACCTCGATGGAACCCCGGCAATACGACTAGCGACTAAACCGCCGCGGAATACCCGGTCACTTGGCTCCAATCCCACCAGCATTCCGATCTTGATATGCAGGGAGACACCGGCGCCATTGTACCACACCATATGGTGACATTAATTTCCCAAGCCCTATGCGATCCCTGATCTTTCAATAAAGCCACAACTCAAATTATACCGGGCGTACATTTGTCTGTGCTACCGTGATCGAATGGTGATTAGTCTTGCCGGGAGTGGGAGGAGAAAAGCCTCACTAAGAAACGCGTCCCCAACTTCCCCGCCAAATCATCGTCGTGACTAGGCTTGCTCCCCGCGCCTCCCCCTCACTAACCAGGCGCACAGAGCGCTGCTTGTTCTGATTCGCAGGTGGCTTTTGCGATTAAGGACGAATCGAGTAAGCTGAGCCCGGATGAATGTAACTTGGACCCACTGACGAGGATATTCAGGAGCGTGACTTGGGACCCTAATCTGAGGGTAATACAGCTAGCTGCCAGCTACGAGCCCCCGGCTGCATAACACGGCATTCACAGTGTGCGTTGGGTAATAGAATATGTGCGACAATCCCAACAAGCGGTAGGCCTACATGTACGGATTGGGTTTTGGGAGCAGTTGGTCTACAACCGCTGCACTCAACGAATCAAGCAATCGCCTGACTCTCTGGACGCCGTAGCTTCAAGTGTGAACCAGCAAATTGAGGTAACGTGAGACATGCCATTGGTTGTGAGCTCGGGATAGCGCGTATTCGAGGTACGCCGCACCAGGAAAAGTCATTGCCATCATGTGACTCCTAGCCCTTCCGGCTAGCCCGGAAAGGGGATCAGTTTCTCCGTGATTACTCCGTCCATACGGACCTGGCCCTGAGCCAAAGCACCAACAATTGTCCCTGGAAACCAGCAATCCATGCCCAATGAAGACCCAGTTGTACCTACTCTGTTAAATAATCGACCAAAAGTCCCGACTCCCGGCAAGCTTCAATGGTGTTTTTCGAAATCACTGAATAGGTCACCTAGTATGCGGAATTCTGTGCGCTGGGAATCCCGCATCCGACGGAATCTCGCCGCGCAAAGATACACGCTAGCCTCCTCCGGCAAGGCAGATACAACTAGTGCGGATCGTCTCGACCTTCGATGGACGGTTCCATGTTGTCTCTAGCGGGGTTCTACGCATAGCATGAACTCAAATCGGAGCGACGTCCTCCGGGCCCGTAACTGACGTTAAACGGCTGCTCAGTCTTAATACTGGAGAGTGGCCTCGATGCAACAAACAACCACAGATGTGTTGTGTTGCTATACTTGGAAGGTGTTGATAACTTGATATCCGCCTATCTCCATAATGACGACGATGGTAGTGATGTGGCTGGTCTCACCCAAGGCTGAGATAGCGAGCTTACCTTTCTCGTAACAACAAGGACAAAAGCCCTTTGCCAAAATCAACAAGTCAATTGGTATGCGCATGCATGTCAGGACGGCCACTAAGGTGAACGGATTGGGCCAATCATCAAGTTACCCGAGGCGGTCTACACAATCTTCGCTATTCCCATGCACCCAGAATCCATATACATGGTCAGGTGAGAAGGTCGATTTCAGTATCAACGAGCGGATACGAATGATCGTCCACAAAAGATCACTCTAGGCTACTATTTACCATCGGGCACCGATCTGGAGATCAAAATCTTCTTCCTCATACCAAATTATCTCCACCGTCATTGGCCTATACAGGAAGGAAAAGTCTGCTAGCCGCAACCTGAACCCATCGTCGCCTGTGTGTATACGCTAAAACAGACTAAAATTACACCATACAAGCAGATACATACAATCCACCCCCGCCAAATACCGAAAATGACCACTACGGTAAAACCACACCAGCCATCGGGCAAGTACACCGACAAATCCGTCCAGACAAGATAAAAGTATAATACCACTCTAAGCCAAATCCGTACCATGATCCCCAAACCCCAACCCTCTTCTAGAAGACTTCTCGAAGGCGCACCACACCAAAATCGGCATCATCGGTTGCCTTGCGACCGTAAACGTGGTTAGCGCCAAACACTCACACATGGCATGTGATCGTTTTTCGCCTCTCGATGGCATTTTTTTGCCTCCTGGAAACATCTGGTAGGTGGCTGATACTAGCGGTGGTTTGAGATTTTGGGTGATCGAATCAGAATCTCGGGATGTCTGAAGGGGGCCAGCCGGTTGCCTGGGCCGTAAGATTGTGTATGTATTACTCTACATAATCCTTTCGCTAGCTGGTTGGTTAGTTAGCTTTTCACAAGCCCTTTCTTTGTAAGACAAATAAGCAGGCCGACTTGATCCACATTTAATACAAATCACATTCAAACCATGAACACATACTCCGTTACGTATCCATCCACGCTTTGACCCGAACCCTACCTAAGCCAGTGGCTGGTAATCGCTGCCGATGCAGCCCAAGTATACTTTATCACGTGATCATGGGGGATTATGATCTTAATATGCATTCACAATGCCTCTCCGATTAACCCAAGTATCTAACCGAACATACCAGGGCCCTTAGGATGGAAGTCAAGTTTCTGAATGATTAGCAAGGAATTGAAACCCATGGTTACCTGAGGGCCAACCAAAAGCATCAACAGGTCATCTTTCCATGACAACTAAGGTCCTGACCTAGAGTTGCTCGGTGCTAAGACTCTCAATATCACCCTAATTGGCTGCGTTCACAGTTATCCATCTCTTGATAGTAAGCTCTGTCTGGCTTCGGGGCTTCAAATCAGACACTTAATTATGCCGATACCCGTGTCAATAACATCTCTCTATCTTCGAGCTCGACTTTGGTTAGGCGAGAAGCGCTACGGCACCTTCTCACCAAGCGTAGTGAGAGTGAGCGACACCCGACTGATCAAATGACCATGTTACTCAGCGGAGCTAGAAGGCCTAAGATACGTCGCGCAACACACACCCATTCCCGTCCCATGTTCGCCGGGTGGTTTCCTGAGTATTGGGAATATACGAAGGCGTTTTACACGCTTTATGATATTCCAGATTGGTATGATGGGTTGAAAAGGGAAATGACTAGGTATGATGACGAGTTGGCGGCGGAGAGGGTGTTAAGGAATTGATTTGATCAGCCGAGGGATCATCTCCGGAGTTTTTATGAGAGGAATAGAGATGGGTAGGGTAGTTCGATGTGGATTTTTACTGTCTTCTTTTCTTGTTCGATTTCTCTTTTCCTACGGCAGTACACTTGATATTGTAGCTGGTCTGGATGATGTGTCGTATAGATCTAGAATGCCATAAATCTGATATCATGTGACTGCCAAGTCTACATCTTAGCAATAAGCGGGGGGCCCCCGACCGGTCAACGGAGCAGACCAGTGCGGTAACTTAACGAAAGAACAAACAAACAAGCAAAATTGAATACGTACCTAGCTCGGCATTTCCCCGATCAATGGATCCATGCGCCCGTCAGCCTCAACGACCGTCGTCATACATACTATACTGAGAAAGAAACTAACTCCCAAAAGAATCAGGCTGAAACAAACAATCCTCTATCCTCTCCGCCACGTGCCGAGACACACCTAGTCTACTGCAAAGTAACCTAACTATCAAGTGGCAAGGACAGAAATCAAGAAAAAAAGAAGCTATCCACTAGCTACACACCAACTCCCCGAATCTAGACAATCGGCTTACAACAAGATAGCCAAGTCTAGATTCAACCCACAATCACACATATTTAGTGTGCATATGTGTGTGCGGTCAAGAAGTGAACACGTACATATGATGGGGCCGGGAAGGGAAAGAAAAACGGTGAGCGAAGGGAAAGTTGCGGGAAATAGAGTTCAGAATGTTCTCGGAGAAATAGAAGAGCAAATGATAAAACAAGATATTCGGTGTCTAAGTTAGTTGAGTTTTTTTGTTTGGTATTATTCCGAATATACCCCATTGTGTATGCAGGTTGTGAATGGATGTGTGGATGGGAAAGAGAAAATCTCGGCATGCCGAGCTGGATTGGGGAGTCGGGCCGGGTAGGTAGCTGGTTGGCTCGTTGGTTTGGTTGGCTGAGATGTCTCGGTCGGGCACCGTTGGTCATTGGTTATCATTATTCATGGTATTATTATTTCGGGGCTTTACAGGGTAGGAAATAATGGAGAGAATTATTAACAAGGTCAAAGGTTTATTCACGGTGATGTATGTAGATAAAGATACAGGTTGGGAGTTATTGCTCCACATCCAGCCATCAAGGCAATTGAAACGAGTGACGAGAAAATCAAGATTATCAGTGGATGGATGGACAGTCCGTATCCTGTATACAGAGTAGAGATCAAATTGAAGGGAGGGGAGGCTGAAGGGTGAGAACTGGATAGCCTAGTAAGGATGGATGGATGGATGGATGGATTGAATACAACCTTCCCAAATCAGCCCGAGTACTGCACCTGTCACTCAGATACAGTGTCACTGTATAACACAGCTCACAGTACCGGTGAAGGCTACTTTGTTCGGGGGGGGGAACGAATCACTTGGCTGCCCGATCTCAGAACCCGCTCCACAAGGGGCCCGCAATTTGAAAAAACTAAACTACTTAGCAACAAGTTATCCTGGGAATTGACACAAGGGAAAGAAGTGGAGGAGGGCCCCCCTCTCTCTCAGCTGACAAAAAACCACTCGCGCGGCGTCCACCCCGACTTTCTGCAGGGGCAGTAAACTCTTTCGGGCCAAGTTTCCCCTCAGCCGCTTTGCGCTGGTGGTCGGGGTTGGATCCACCGCCGTGGTCTGGGTGCTTGAGAGAACCACGGGCTGGCTTTTGCTCCACGTTTTCGGGCAGATTCGGACGTCAGAGTTTGCAGGTTTGCAAGGGAACTCGGATTGTCATTGGTTTAGTCTATCGGGAGATTCAGGGAGATATTGTGGAGAATTAAGAGGAAAATCAGGAGGGAATAATGTAATTTCTCTTCTTACTTTCCTTTACGGAAAGCACAGTATGCTTTTCTGCCTTCCAATGGATCCGATCCGACCCTTTTTCGGATTGTGCTTATGTTTGCTTTTTGCGCGTGAAATTCGGTTGGTTACCAATTTGTGCGTGTTATTCAGGTTGTCTTAGTACTTTTCTACCAAGTACTGGTTAGCTGGGTAGCTGGTTAGTTACCTAGCTAATTTGGTGACACCTAGTCAGTCTCAGCTAAGGAATGCGACCTCTTCGACTGACATAAAACGGATTACAGCGGTCCGAGGGATTCTGTTGAATGCAACAATCTACGGAGTAATTAACTCATTAGTAAGTTGATGTTACTTGACTCGTTGCTACTATTTACTAATAGTCCACTCCATATTTCCAAACTCCGGTTTTCCTGGGAGTACCCGCGTTACGTCATTGTTGTTGAAGCAATGAAGATGTCAGTGCGCACGAGACCAGGGCCAATGCAACTTATCCCGAACTTTATACTGGGATTAGTCCGCTATTCCCCAATGCATACCATCCACATAGGACAGCTTCTACGATATGCCATTGTGTAAATGAAAGCAATAGATACTTAGTAGTTGTAGACAGATACAAGATCCTACTACTCCATAGATAGACTTCCGAATCCTCTCCGCTCAGTAAATCTGCAAGGCGTGCGCAGATGACCTGCTTATTTCCAATGGAGCTGCGCGATAGCCTCCACGGCAGTCATTGCATACGGCAGTTGTTGAGCTCGAGCTCTTCACGGCAGAGTCTAGAACAGGCAGGCAGGTTGAAGAACCGCTGCGACCGTTTTCCAACTCTAACAGGGGCTGATTACGAGCTGCACCTCATCCAGCTTGAAGTCAATCTTAATACCTGACAATATCTTTCATAGTATCCTCTACACCACCAACTCATCCCATCATACTTCATCAACGCCACGCCAACTAGTTACTATACCTCGGACAATTATGCTGATCCTGAAACCAAAAAGCACATGGACAGAACAACACACAGAACAAAATAAGAAGAATCAAAGTTAATCTTCTCCAAATACAAAGTTCCGACAGAAACCGCACTCTTAACTCAATCAAACAGCATCTATCTAACAAGTAATAAGTGACGCAAATGCCCGACCGGGCTTTCTTGATCTAGCGACCCCGATATACTTTGCGAAAACACAACGCGCAGACACACGCACACATTTCTCTCTGATCTGCATCCATCCTTATTCCATCGAAGCTAACCAGACTATATCTCGTGGACCACACAACAGATCGTAGTTCGGTGAGTAGAACTAGTAGATGATGATGTTATCAAGGAGTTGGTACCCAGATCATGATGTGAATCTGATGTGACCCTGGAGTAATCCCGCCCGGTTCAGTCGGCTTTTCTGGCTTTTTTTTTTTGTCCCCGTCATACCTTCCCCCCTCCACCTTTCCCCCTCCACCCCCCTGTTCCCCTCCAAGAGCAAACTGTCATCGATTGTTGTTGGTTGGGTATGACAAGGACGGCGGGGGGGGGGGGGGGGGGGGGGGGTTAGGTTCAGTATGTATGTAGGTAGGTGGGGGGAGGGACGGGAACCCCGAGATGCCCTTCCTTGCCTTCCATCATGCTCCATGGAAGAAGAGTTTCGTGATCACATCGAACTCAACTTAAGTGGTTAGTAGTAACTCGATAACTAGTAGATGTTCACAAAACATACCGAACAAATACATACGTACACCCATAGCTTCTCTTTCCAGTTACTTTCTCGCCTCCCTCATTTCCAATTTTAGAATTAAGTTCTTATTTTATTTTACTTTTTTCTTTGTGTTTTTCCTTCCCTCCCGATCGAAATTGTCTAATGGAGGGATCTTAATATCGGGCGCATGTGAAGGGGAGGGAACCAGGGGATCAGTGCGAGATTCTAGATCTCAACAGGTACGGCCTGTGGTTCGAAGGTTGGGGAGTTCCCCTCACTCTTCCCCTACCCTCCTATTCATTTTTGCTACTACTATTATTATTATTGTTGTTGTTATTATTATTTTCTCTTGCTACGTGTCAGTGCGCCTTAGCCCAGGCCCACGGCGGCCAGCGGCCCATGGATGGATGGGCTTCGGTGTAGAGTCGCGTCACCACACCACACCACACCACTTTCTCTCTCTCTCTCTCTATTTAGGTTTCTTTCTTAGACTTTTACTGCTGAAATCAAGGAAGATGTAGCTCATATCATATCCAATGTGGATTTCTATTTCGCTGGATTTCTTTTGGTTTGGGAGGAATTTAAAACACAAATAGCAATCTCACAGTAGCATACATGGATGATAACATGCGCAAAGACAGGCAGCGGGAGGTAGTAAAGTCACGAACAAGTAGTGGTATCTGGTATCAAGAAGAGCTAAACTGGCTGTTCCCAAGATGCATGTTTGCAATGTTTTTCTGCCGCTTCAAAATAATCAAACGCAGGCTGCCTCACTCCCTGACGCAATCACATCCATAATAAGAAAGAATAAAACCCTCTTTTCTTTTCAGTATGTCCACCCATAGTAAGAAGTGAAAAAAAGGAAAAGAAAAAAAAGAGACAATGAAGACCGTATCCGACCATGCATCGCCAAAGAGGAAGTTTCATCTGTACATGTGAAATTAAGGATGTAATAAAAGGCGTTGTCCCTCCGGTGGCCCATATATAATGACAGCAGACAGCCTCACAATGCAATGTTGAAAGATGGGGTAAGATGAAAGGAAAAGAAAAAAGGAAAAAAAGCAAAACAATGACCCGAAACGCATTAGGTCGGATATAACAGCCGTATGATCCCTAGGTGCGCCAATATGCAATGCAGTCGTGATGGTACGTGTCACAAGGATGATAATCAGTCGGCGGTCTTTACATGTTTTGGAAAAGAAAAGAATCGAGGAAACAAGGAAGTAGCCGTTCGAGTATCGGGTATCATAGTCAACAAACATTACCGATCCAGAAGAAAGGATATGCTTTGACACAGATAATGAAAGGCGAAGACGTGTCGATGAATCTGTCAAGGGCTTCACCACCCCTTCACATGGTATTCCCAAGGTCCAAAGTCGGTGTAGTGAGTAAAGGATCCGGTCTTGTCCTTACCCTGACTGGTAGCCTTGGTTGCAGCGCCACCGGCCTGGCCGGCTGGCTGTCCCTTAGACCCCTTCGGTCCAGGGTATTCTTGTAGATTGGCCATATCATGCGCCGTATGTCTGCGCTTGAGGAATGCGTTGGCAGTCGCACTCTTCTGTTGACGTTCCCACAGCAAGTGTCGGCGGAGAGACTCGGTCAGTTCGGTAGCAAGCATGTTGCGGCGAGTTGTCCGTGGGGAGTGAGCAACAGACTGCGGGGTGGGCTTCATGATGATCGGCTTTGAGCGAGGGACGTCGGGACCGCGCATCGTCAAGTTCTCGTCATCGTCCTCAGGCGGTGATGCAGGGATCGAAGGACCATTAGGTGAAGTAAGACGCGAGCGTTGTAGGGCTGGACTAGACCGGGTCGGAGCGCCCATCTTAGTAGGCTGATGCATCATCATGGTGAGAAGGGAGCGACGCGAAACAAGGTTGGGCCGGGAATCCACACGTTGGAAGAGTTCCTTCTCCTCAACACTGGATCGGCCACTCTCTGTAATCGAGTCTTCCCAGTCAGAGTCCGAGTCCTCAATAGCACTCTCAGAAACTTCGTCGTCAGTCTCGACGGCATCCTCATTATCCATAGCACGTTCCCGGATAGGCTTGATAATTTCGTTCTGGTCCCTGAATGAAGCCACCTTTTTCCTGAGATCCTGGCCATTTGCCGAAGGCTTACTCAGTTCATCAGAAAGAGAACTGCGATGCGGCCCTTGCAGTGCCATGCGATCCTCGAAGCTGCTTTCATCGTCATCACCCGACGAGCCTCCAAGAGTGAACATGCCGCCCTTCTTCTTGAAGGGAGTGGGCTTAAGTTGTGCTGGAGGCTTGGCCGGGCCAGGTTCGGCAGCCAATCTAGGTTGCGACCGGTATGACGAGGAGATGACAGAGGGAGAGAATCCGCGGACGATGCTTGGCGACTTGATCAATTCGGAACGGGTAAGGATGCCGGACGAAGAAACACTAGTGTCAGACCCGGCAGCATTGCCATTGTTATCGCTGTCATTGCCTTCGGGCGCAGTAGTCGAGCAAGACTCAGTAGACTGGTTTGGTTGTTGGCTCAGAGGGTACGGGGGCGGGGTTGGCGTCCGCCTCGCCGTAGAGACAGAAGGAGGGGTGGCGGGAGTAGGTGTCGACGGGCGCGGTGTAATATCGACGACAGGGGGCTCGACTGTCGACATGACGGTAGAGATGGGTTCAAGGTTTTTCTTCTCTTTGATGTTAAGCACCATCCGCTCCAAACCTAGAGATGTAATATGCTTCTCCTTTCCGCGGGCAAGGCTGGCCATCGAATCCTCACGCACCACCGCCGGCTTGTAGTCCAAGCACTTCGGGCGTTTAATGTGATGTTCTATCCGCTCTGCCTGCTCGGATGCCGCCGATTCAACACTCGCAGAAAGTTCTGGCAAATCTCCAGCTTCGGAACGAAGGAGTGGCAAAACCGAGGTAGTGCTGGAGGTCTCCGGCTCCACACAGAAGGTCTCACGTGTCCAGAGTCGCCAGCTCAGGTTTTCCAGACGCCGGCCTTCCTCCATATAGTCGGCACATTTCGAGAAGACTAAATTCCGAGATCAATTGTCAGCCACCAGACGCGACTGATACCTGCAACGGTACACGATGCACTTACCCATCCACATGCCATGCAGGCTTTGCGCATTGGCTGTATCGACCTTATGGATCTTGGCCGTATCCACCGTCAGAACGGGGGTTGAAAAACGCGAAGCCATTCTAACGACGCCACAATTCCGAAGATGCTGAAGTTCCTCAAACGATTCTTTTCTTCCCCGTAGGAGTGTAGTTTCGGGGTCGCCGTCTCCCCCAAGCGTGGTCGTTCGGCGCGAGAAATTGCGAGATAGACCTCTTCGATCCTCCAAGGTTACTGAGAGTAACGCCTCCAAATTTGGGTTCTGCAGCGTGCTGCAGAAAGTCGATTGAATTGAAAGTGGCGCCCAAGCTGCCCGTCAAGTGCAGCAAGTGTCGAGTTCAACAATTGCTGTGCGAGATGGAGTGTGGTATGGCGCAACAGAGATCGATCCGGGGTAGGTCGATTGATCGAAGCCGGTTCCGTAAGCGGATCCTTCACACTTCCAGTACTACCTATCCAAGAGAGACACGACCGAAAACGACAAACGGTCGGGGTGGGTGAAATTTGAACGAAGGTTCAGGCGTCCTGGCGCGAAGTATGTAGATATGTCCGGTTCAGGGAGGTCGGAAATGGTCGTGGGGGTGAGGATTGAGGGTGATGGGCGAGAGGAATGAGTGAAGGAGGAAAGAAGGAAGGGAAAAAATCGAAGGGGAATATGGGGGAGGAGAACCTTAGTCTGGCTGGTGGAGCGGACGAAGAAAAGAGGAAAAGGCAAGATAGTTAACGGACGGGTCGGTGGAGAATTGGGGGGAAGAGGGAGGGAGGGTGGATGAGAGAGCGTCCGGTATGAACTGGTGACGGGTTCAGTACAAGGGGAAAAAAGGGAAAAAAAAAAAAAAAAAAAAAAAGGCAGAAAATGGGAATTTGACGGTGGCCACAGAAAAGTCCGATGGGGGTACGTACCGAGGGAGAGGTACTGTGGTTGACCAGCCATGGGGGATGGCGGTAAGTACAAGGATGGGCTCCTAGCCGCGCCTCCTCCCCATCCGTGGTCCCGGATGTGTGATTAATCTTGGGATTATTTGCGTTCTTTTTTTTTTTCCTTCTTTTTCTTTTTCCGAATTTTTGATTTTTCTGAAATTGAAATTTCCCCTTTGGTAATGGTACATCCGGAGTACCCCCGTGGGTCTACTGGTATTTCATACATGGTTATAACACCGGTAATATTACCATCGGTCTGTTTCCGGAGTCCCACATTGGAACAAAGTACGAAACTGGTATTGAAGAACAATTACTACTAGTTGAAGTGCTCCGTAGTAAGGCAGGTACTTCTACTAAACCCAGTAGGGCCAGCTATACATCGGTGAATGCGGTTCACCCCCCAGCACTGCAACCAGATGAAGCTTGACCCTGGATCTGGATAGATACATACTAATACCGTCCAGGTATGGACAAACTTCCCCCAAAATGGATCACTCAAAAAGCCTCAAGGTTTTTGTGACCTGATGCCTTGATTCACCCTGGCTCTCGCTTCATCTCGGACCGGCAGCATTATGTATGCATCACCGACAAAGCAAAAACCCCTGGAGAATAGCCCCAGCAATGACAACAACAACAACAACAGGGGGGAAGGGTAAAAAAGGCCACAGGGGATCGTTCTAGACAAACATTCAAACAAAGATCAACCCGTCCTGTGACCATCGCCTCGGCTGACTAAGGGCAAGGCATCTTTAACAGTTCACCAGTCAATCGATCGGGTCACTTGACTTCTCAAAAATGGGTCCCGAACGATTGGCCGAGGCGAAGTGCTGCTGATATCACTCCGCACTTGTCAAGTCGCCAGGGCTGGTATACTGTGGGAATCGGGTTAATGATCACTACTATTGAAGACCTAATGATGATAGCCACTTCCATCATTGTACCCAGCATCCAGATCCATTCATTCAGTGTCATTTTTAGGCACCGTGCCTAATCCCTCGCCTCCTCAGGGGCATTTGACACTTCACCACCATCCACCGCTGGGCTATGATTATTATGTCCTGCTGACTAGTGACTTATTCCTCGATTCAGTTCAACTGCTTTCGTCACGGACATGCTTAGTTTCGGGCAGATTCTTGTTATCCAAATGTGACTAAGAGAACCCTAGGCTCTACCGTCTACATTCTGGGCACCTCCCCCAAGCCACGTTCCTGTTACCCGGTCTCTTGGACATCAACATCTTACACACACACTACCCGACTTAGTTCTGAAACCGGGCATTCCGGCACTTGACCTCATCCCCATCTTATTGACCCTGATCCCCTTTTAGGCTCAAGCGTGTCGGCTCGAACTCTCACTTTCTACATCCATATGATATGTCGACGTGGATGGTTCAATCATCCCGGCTGAAATGGCCTGAGCACTGATCTTCCTTACTGTTTCTTATTAGCCGGTGGTGGTATGTACCTTCGCAAAATGCCCCAGGCGGAGTCGCATACCGGGGAAAGAGCGCAGCGTTTCCGATCTGGATGATCATCTCACACCAACATAGTTCTTCCTCTTATCAGTTCAATGCGCCCTCCGAAGTCTGCACCAGTTATGTATGTACCCTGGATCGCGAGTTTTAACGCCCTTTTACTCTCCAAGCCACGATACCTCAAAAGCACTTTTGATTTGAGATTTTCAAAGTGAAAATGTCCAATGACAATGTATCCCTTTCAAATACCGGTCTCAGGAGACTGGTATACCTAATTTGAGTGACCTAACGACAGAGGATTCGTGGTCGCTCATTCCTCACCCCATCCATAGTCACAAGGTGAAAATCCTGCCAGCTGTCATTAAGTACTTGTGATGCCATATTTGTGGGAAACGGTAGGTATCAGTAGTATATCCCCCAAGTGAAATCTAAAAAAAAAATGAAAAAAGAATGGGGGAGATACTACATACAACACGTATGATACAATCGTTCACAAGGAGTAGATACTTGGGTTGATTACCCGCCTGTACGGTTTAGCCCTTCCCACCCTCCTCCACCCCCTTTTTTTTCCTGTCACGGGGCCTTGCAAAAACTTCCCAAACGCCCCGTTGCGAATAATAACAATATCAATAATAGACTAAAACGCCACACTTGATCCTTCATCGCGGATCCCCGGGTGAGTGGTTCGGGGAACTAGGATTCAGAAGATCCGCCCGATTCACCATCACCACTGCCCTTTTGGAAACTGACAGCCAGTGTGCCAGTTCCCAAGCCGTCAGCCCACGTTTTACAATCATGTGATGTTCCACGTCAAAGGTCCAGGTCCAGGTCCCCCCGAACACCTGATAGATGAGTTGTAAATTGGAAAGTTGCTGTTTCATCTTCGGAGTAAAAGCCCGTCATCTGCTTGCACAGTAGTAGTTGCTTCACCAAGGCGGGCTTCCCGTTGGTGTAGAATGTTTTTCCATCTTCACCAAACCATCTCCAAATTTTCTCCGATGTATGAATTACGGAAGGAAAAAATAAATTAGAAGAAGGCAAAAAGCAAAAGCTCAAGGGGCTGGATGTGGAGGGGTCGTGACCACGCCGGCTTATTGGGGCCCAAAGGAAGTTACCAAGCCTCACAGGGCCCTGTCGAATTAGTAGTTAGCGACGTTGAACGATCTGCAAGGCGGTTCACATTGTGGTCACTTGCTGGTTAAAAAGTCGCTCGCATTGCCGGATAGTAGTAAACGTTCTACGGAATGCCCCGTAGCATGGGGAGGATACTACTATACGCTCTCTCCTTTGTTAGGGAAGAGGGTTAATATTGGGGGACGGATGGTCCAGGTAAACCCCGCAATGATATAAACTCTTACCAAGACTAGGCAGGCGCTATTTATTAGACAGTGATAGTTAACTACTAAGTCAGGATCGGCATTTGCGAACGCAAGTAAATAGTAAAGTAAAGCTCAATAGCTAATAATTGAGCCCACATCCGTCTTTCTTGCATATTCAATGCAGACAATAATCCAGAGCAGCATTATCTCCTAGGCACCATAGCTCTGTTGGCAGGTGGGAATCAGGGAAACCCGCCAACACGGTGAGCTTATTCGCTTCGCTTGCAGCTGGGGCGGACACCTCCGCTTTCAATGATCCAAGTGCTCAGCTGCCATCTTTCATGCATGGAATCGTTCCACAGCAATGCTTCTAGAGGGAGCCACGTAGCTGCGCCCTAGCCCACTCGATCACACCCCGATTCATCAGGCGTACCTCTTGCAGGTGTGTGCCATGAAGAAAGAGGGAATTCCATGGATGACGCCCTTCTTTCTTCCAGAAACCTACGGAGCTACATTCTTATCTGGGTACATTGGCCGGTTAAGCTTATGGGAGAGTTCAGTCATTCCCTAACGATGGGATGGGAAATGCTCCAATATACTCTCCGCGTTGTTGATCATATCCAGGTAAACTCTCCGGATGATGATGATGATGTACGAGATACGAAATTATACCATGGTTGGAGCACGCTATCTCATGATTACCTATGTAGGAAAAGGGCTTTACAAATTCTGGGGTAATCAAGCAACTGTTCATCGACAATTGGCTGTCATTGTTCGAGATGACCTCAATTGTTCGGGAGAATCCGTCAACAGATGAGGACTTCCGAGGGACTCCCGAGGGTACACCAGTGGAAGGCAAGAAAAAGCAATCCACATTTGATCGAGGGAGCTGACGTCCCTGCCGACGAGAAAGTTGCCGAGGACCAACGGCAACATCAGAATGCCTACCTTGCTGGTAGAACAGGCAGAGGCGACCATTGCTCCGTGGCGTAGATGCCTGCACACTGTACAAGACACAGCTAGCTAGCTAGCTAGCTAGCTACAACAGTGAAAGAGGACTGATGTTACCTCATCTCCCGCCCGCCCCCTTTAACGTGGGGGCAAAACCAAACAAACCCGCAGTGGCAAAGCCCACCCCCCAGTCACAAGACCGCTCCCCGTCACATGATGTGGGGTTGTCCCGCGGCATTAATGCGCCACTGGTCGCGGCTGAAGGAGATTCCATGTCTATCCATCTGTCTCTACCAACATCAATGCTCAATCGAATTGATACACCGAGTCGACTCATTTACAAACACACACACACACACACACACACACACACACACACAGAATTGAACCGTATAGAAACAGTATCGTCCGTACGGCCTTTACTCGGCTCCGTCATTGTCGACTGCTCTTCTGACCTGCGGAAAAGCCGACACACCATGATCGATTGCTGACTAGTAGCCAACGGGGATGGAAGGATGCTACTGGACGCAGCTGCATCACGTCAAACAGCGGCTTAGAAGCACCGGATAAGGCACCATGCATCAACTGCAGCTTGCAGACAAAGAATGATAAACAGCAGGTGCCGTCGGTGTCTTACGGAGTACTCCCGCCCGACCTTTAGTCACCACCACAGATATCCGACAGGACGCGCAGGCTAGGAACAATAGGGACGGCGATGCTGTTGTGTGAACACAACGCCTATTGCCTATTTCCTCTATAGGTAGTCTGCCATTCCTTCTTTGGGACTGGCCGAAGTAGGGCGTCAGCCAGGAACACAGTGGCCTCAACTCTACCGAGAACGGCACTGTAGATCATAGAACCGCCTGGATCTTGCACGACATGATCTACGGTATGTTGCTGTGGCTGGTGCCATACAATCAGGCATTCACCTGGAGTAGTAGTGGACTAACCATCGACGTTGTCCATCCCATGAATAAAGCTTACGATTTTGGGAGCTTCTTACGGTCGCCAAAACTTCCGAGAATGTTGTTGATACCACTCATAACCCCCAGGGGTCACGAATCCATATGTAAACCGTTTCACCAGGGCGGATATTGCCTCACATTAAGATGATATTGCCTCCTGAAATCGAGCCTTATTTTGAGACGATCTCCAAACTTTCTCCGGCCCTTGAATTCTTTATGCATAGCTTAAAGCTTGGATTGCGCACGGATATCGACTCCCGGGATATGCACTTGGAAGGGATAACGACCCGGGATCACAGGGCAGCCCCGGGTAACACCACTCATTGAGCCGGCCAGCATTGAAGTATGGATTGCTACAGAGCACAAAGCCCGGTATAGATATACGGTCTCTTTTCCTTCAATGTTCTTCCCTTCCTCACTACTATCTTTCACTGCTTTTTCCTGCCTTCCCGTCGAATGCCACACGATGGGGAACCGACGTGGTACGTACCACCACCGTTTTCTCCTGAACACAAGTCACATTCCATATTTCCCGGGCCGCATCCCCCGGACCAGCCAAACCCCATAAAGGATTCTTGTCATGTAACCCAGGAAGGGCCAATCTACCAGGAACTGGTTAGCAAATAGACCGATTCAGAATCCGACCTTTGTTCGAGAACCCAGCTTAGCGGCTACCAGATCATGCAAATTCGCAGCTCTCTCTCGCTTTGACCTCCAGGGGAATGGTAGGTTCTCCACGTAAATGCAAGGGTTATAGCGCGGATCGCATTTCAAGGATCTGAGGAACAGGAAAAGAAAAACAAATCATGACTACCCACATCATTGATTGACTGAGTGCTCCGGGAAGCCTATTGCGGTAAAATTGATTTTGCCCTTTCTTTCTTTTCTTCCCTCTTCCATACTCTATGCCCCCTCCCTTCCTCCAATCCTTAACACGCGATAAAACCAATATAAAACATTGCTTTAAACTCACCCGTCGAAGAATGAGCAGCAGCAGCAGCAGCCCTGTTTGACTGGAACACGGGGCCAGGACTTGGACCTCCTCCTTCCCTCTTCCTCATCACCAGCCATCAAAAATCCCTCCCTTCTATCTCTCCTACCTGGACACGTAAGCTATCCTTCTATTCCTCTATCTGTCTTAAGCTCTCCTCCAACCCTGCAAGGAAACCAAGGGTTTATTCACCTACCCATCTACCTCGCCACCACAACTTCCTCTTCCACACTCTCTCAATCTGCAGAATGAAAGGCACGTTCACGGAATTACCCCGGATTGATCGCCCCCCACCGAGGCGAAAACGAGGAACACAGTGTAACTGAGTGTGCTACAGACAGTACAGCGACCAGCTCACTTACCGTAGACAAGTACTTGGATACTAGCTCACTCTGTGCGCCATAGAATCGATATTTAGCATGATCCATGCATATGTTTGCCCCGAAATGGGGAGCATTGGATGGATAGCAGACAACACCCACGCCTTATCTATATTTACTGCTTAGTACATAAATCACGCAAACTTCTCGATTGCCCGAAAGTAGAATCATCGAGCGGGTTGCCTCTTCAGGCATGCTCCGTCTTGCTGAAGAATAATAGAAGTTAGTTAAGTGGTAATTGGTTACTCCTTGATTCAGGGACGGACGTAATCCAAGTATGTATGTTTTAAAGACAATAAATAAAAGTAGATCATTAGTCATGTAAGTATGTATGCAACTTACATATTTTTCGATTATAAGACTACCACTACACTTTTAGTTAGATATACCCTGCGGCCTTTTCATGTATTATCGTTATACCACGACTTTCTATTTGAATGACTGATATTGTGTATTCTGGAAGGATAATATCTTCAAAGAAGAAGTAGAACCAGGATGAGGCAATAAAGCTATCTATCTACTACCTACCTAGTAGACAATCGTCATCGCATCTGCATGTCCCGGTATTTAGGTCAACAGGCATGTTCACAGATACCTGGTCCGGTTGGGATCGACCCCCACCCACCGCCGATTTGGATGAAAAACACACACAGACACTTTAGTAAGTGGCAGTGAGTTGCACCCACCCCCCCACCACTCATGTATGTACCCATCTAAGTACATACATACTTACATGAACAGGTAGGGTCTAGAGTATTATCATGCAGACTGTAAGTACGGAGTCCGTTGAGAAATCATCAGTGCATGTGCAGTAAGTGACTAACTACTGGTTATCTAGTTGAGACTAGTTTTTCCGTCTGTGCAACGATGGCAGAATCCCGAGACCTGGTTCTAGGGAAAAACGGATGAGGGGGAAAGGCAAAAAGCAAAGAGGTATTATTACTAGTAAAATATTCCTCAATCGGGGTGATGAGAGAGGGAAAAAAATCCTCGTGTCAGATGACAGGGCTGTATCCTTCTTCCTTGCCTGATTTAGGGCGCTCTGTTACACGCTGGCTGATACCGCCGTTGATGTGGGTTAATAGCTATCAGAGTAACTGGTCCGGTCGCTGCAGGGTACAGGTAGGAGTCATCATTACGCATGGGTGTGTGTTGAATTGCTATGGTCGATCTATTATTCTAGGCCCTGTGGATGTGAGACTTGTCTGTTATTTGTTGGTAGTATGATACTACTGTTGCCGTGTTGTTCTGCTATAGATAGATGTCCGTGGCTGATGAATGCGGCCAGTTGGCGGGCTGGGCCCATGAGGTTCAGTAGCTAGATCAGGGGTTTCTGGGGATAGCAGTCCTTCCCCGCAGTAATTTCAGAGCCCACATTGGGGACATCAAGTAGACTTGTCACATTGCTAAATGGGCGTGCTTCCATAACCGTCATCATCTGCTGGTGGGTATGATCGGATAGAACGCTCATAACAGAGAGTTTAGGCGGCGGCCAAGTAAGTGTTGGCTAATGGCTGGCACCTTTCATTGCGATAAGCTGAAACAAAGACAAATTCGAGTTCGTGTCGTACGAAAGAGAGATTGGTTCAAGTTTAGGCAGATCAGGCACCGATTCCGGCTGTCGCATGACCTTGCGATATAAGGTATCCCCAAAAGGAGTCGGTAGAGTTAGGTTGACAGCCGCCATGTCCCATCCATGTGACTTACACCTCGGATATGTTTCTCAGCTAATCGGCAGTTGCTGTGGGTTTTGTTTCATGTCAAAGATGGTTGCGAAGGCTATTGGCTTAGATCTAAGTGTTCTTCAACTAGAGCGAGAGATATTAGTCCGTGTTGACTATCTCTATTGGTCCGGTCTATAAGGTGTCGAGTGTGAGCGGGCTAATCGGATCGCATAGCCAGGGGTCAGAGGTGTATAACTGGCAATGCGAACGTACCAATCAAAAAGGCCCCAGTTGGTCTGGATCGGAGTTTGATGGTATGAATATATATCCTCGTGAATGTTTAGATGTATGTCTTCACATGGCTGGTACCTGACTTCATGTAGTACTTTTGCCAGGTACCAAGGGATAGAGTGCATGGAAAAAGACAAAAAAACAGAGCCGACGCAAATTGTGTGAAATACTGTAAATACTCCAGTTACGAGTTACAATATACAGCAAGGCTACAGATAGACCAAAGAAAGAAAGGCACATACCAGAGGTGAGCATCATCAGATGCTAGGATCACCTCCTGCAGTCGTGTGATGCTAAAATCGCCCAAGTCCGAAGTAGCGGTATAGAAATTATGGGCGCCCAAGATGTCGCTGCCAACATCGAAGCAGCGACAGGTGATTGCTTGATAGTGTTGTAAGGCATCTCCTTGCAAACACGCCACGGCTCCTCGTTTGACGCCTTGAATGTCGGTTGCTGTCATGAGAAAAGGGGAAGGATTCTGCTCAGGTCCCACGAGACAGAATCATGGTGGACTTTGGCGCGAACGGAGACCGGCCACGTCGATGCTCGCAGCCATGTGATGGCGGGTGGTAACCGCTGCGCATTGTCTCCTGGCGCTGCGTGGACTTTCTTTTTTCGGGACGTCGCCGCTTTAACCGAGGCCGGTGAATCAATGCTCTACACAGTCGTGCATCCTTGACTTCGCTCCAGGGCTGTGCGCTTCTATCGGACATATCCTTGTCCGGGATCAGCAATCTAGAGAGGTTACTGCGTACATACGTAGCGGCTTTCTAGCCATCTGCTGGGGAATCAGCAAGTTCGCAGCTACACACAAGCTACCAAGAGAGTGTTCTGTTCATAGCCCAACGACGTCCTAGGCTAGCCTTATTGCAGCTTATTCCAGACATGTTTTCCATAAATACGGAGGACCACAGAAATGCTCTTCTCTGCACCGGATCACATGATAAACGGCGGTGACAGATCGTAGATCGAGGTACCTTCCGAGTACGATCTTAGTCTTCCTATCTAGCTCTCAATATGCAAGATGCCACCCTGGCCGCGATCGAATGGAATTTCCATATCGAGCTCATGGAAGCCTGCAGTACATGCAACATGAACGCATTATCTGCGAATGGCCCATGTCTGAGCAATGGATCGGAAGGAAAGGTGAGTCAACAGGGGCCATGGATCATCCTCTGGAAGCGATATTGTACTGATGATAGCAATACTAAATATGATCCAGTGATGCTATGACAAGAAGCAATCAAAACAATACTCTCCGGAAAGGATCAAATGCCTCTGCATCTCTCTCTGGCCAGTCATAGGCGCAAGGGTTCTCCCTGCTCTATCATACAGCCGCTTCAATCTGGTCGGATGAGGCGGCTTGAGGCACCAGACGAGTGTAACCACATCAACATCCGATATGCTTCTAGCAAAAGATAATTGGAAGTTTCGGCGCTTCCGTTCCCGCACACCGAATAGTGGAAAGTCATGGGGTATCTGACCGAGATCCACATTCAGTTGATTGGGACTCTACCGAATGACGAATACTACAAGCTGGCTTTGATCGTTGGGGATCGAGAATCCCTTGCGGATACGTTCACGTTTCTCATACTGACCATGCCGGCCTTCTAAGGCTTGGACGACTGGATCATACGAGATGAGTTACCTGCAGATGCAAGCCGCGGTTGCACATCGGTTCGTACGGTCTATTGCTCAGCCAAGTCCTCATGACTATGCTATGCCATGACCTCGGGAATTGTGCTTTCATCTTGAGTAGAAGAGCGATAACAAAGCAAATGCAGTTCTAACAACGACAGTATTGTCACGAGGACTGTGTCAGGATGTGCAACCGACTTGCAGTGACAGTTCCTAGGCCTGCGGCAACTTAATCGGTGGATATGCTCCTTCCTGGTCCCATGCCGCCGTCGAACTAGGCAGAATGAGATGTAGATGGCTTCTCCGTTGTCCAATGTCGAAAAGAATGACACCATGGTTTCGCGATGACTATACGCCTCCTGACGACGTGCCCGACTATCGCGGAAATATCTCCTCGATGAGGCCAAGCGCGAAAGCGAGAGGGGCTTTAAGCAGTAGTTATGATGGATGTGGTGGACAGAACCAGACAAATCCTTCAGCCCTTTGACGATGATGTCGTCTCAAGCAGCGTTATGAGTAGACGATGGACCCCTGTCGGGCGGCTATTCCTAAGCTCGTATGAGCAGAGCTTTCTACCGTTGTGCAGGGATCTCGAGGATTTACCACGGTAGGCGACCCGGAATTATTGGAGGGATCGGCTTCTGAACAAGGACCCCGGAAAGAAGCGCAGAAGTTGGCTTGTTCGGTAAAACATCAGCTGCATCGTGACGGCTGAATAGACGCGATCGACCGAGTCTAGAAGTCGGTTTTGCTTCTTCTTGCGACGCATAGCTACGTTGCTATTTACGGGAGAGTTTCACTGCTGGTCATCTGAGCAAATGCATATTGCATCGGGCTTACCACGCCTGTGCGCTATCCATCATATCCTCCGCGATGGGCTCTGAGTGGATGTTGATGTGCAATGCCGTCTGTCCTTTTCTGAGTCGTCGACTAATGACAAAAAGTAGTCGCCGGGCCAATGGATGGTCGTGCTCCCCTCTCAGTCTTGACGAGGCAGCCGAATAACAATTGCATTATCGCCCGCTGATCAGACGACCGTCACCAGATCACTCTCACCCTCCTTCGTGGAAATGATTTCCACTCATTCTGATTGCCGCTATCAGATCGCATGGATAGCTCCAATTCATATGTTGGTATAATATGGTCTGATAAGGCTCATTCGACCAATGTTTTTGTCATGTCCTGGCCTTCTGCCGATCGTACTTTTATCACACAATCACCGACTAACCCCATGCTGAGCTGTCAGCCCATTGTTCGTCTCCTTTTCCCGTCTCCACATCCCGCTGATCCATTTCTCCGTGTCTGAGCACACACAGTGCACATGGCCCTCTTCGCCCGAAATCGATCCTATCAATTCCACAGGTCATTTGGATAGCAACCATGGAGCGCCATCACAGCCTTCGCCGAATCGGAACTCTGTACACCATGATGGTTCGAGCCAGTAAGATAGTATATCATACGTGAGATGTTTCATAACAGAACAAAAACAAAACTTCATTACTTCCAGGATCGGGCACATGGTCTGTCAATCCAGTGATGTGAAAGACGCATTCGAGAAGGCCCCGAAAGGTTGCTCCGTACGTGGCATACTAACCCATAGTAGATAAATGCTATCAGCTGCTCAAGTACAATCTCAGATCATGATCACGCTAGAAACAATACAATGTCAAAAGAAAGAACGCCTCCATCGGCGAAACTAATGCTGCGCCAAAAAAAACCCCCCCACTAGCACGCCGCATGCTGTACTCAGATCCGAGGCTGAATTGAGCTAGGCTCTTGTTCTCCGACAACCGTCCCATTCCCTAGTTTCAGGCCGACAGGTAGCCCTCTGATGAACTTATTGGTGTGCGGCAGCCCCCTTCGCGTGGCAACAACTTCCTCGATATCTCTGTGCATATCATATCTGGTTTGACTATCAGACTCTGGACCTGGAAAAAGGTGCAAGGAAAGAAACAAATGGGCTGCAAAACTTACGCATTCATCTCCTCAATGGTCAGTTTCTTCTTCTCATCCTCAACCTTATAGGTGGCGGTGTCGGTATTGCTAGAGAAACCTGGACAAAACGTCAGCGCCAGTATCTTCACTACTGCAGCATCATGGACCTCGCTTACCAATGCGCTCGTTGATGTTATATGCTGCTTTTGCCGAAGCGGACTGAACCTTGGTGGCCCGGGGCAGTCGGACTTCCTGGTAGATTGACAGCGCATCGGCGACATCGCCCTTGAAGTGCGCTCTGCTGAAGATAATGCCCAGGGCTGCAGCGTCTTCAATCGCCATGCAGGCACCCTGACTCTGATGGGGCATCATCTGCAGTGGAATGCGTTAGTCGTTACTGTTTAGAGTTCAAATTTGTAGGTCAGAACATACCGGGTGCCCTGCATCACCGAGAAGACAAACCATGCTGCTGGTGATATATGGGTATGGTTGGCTGCCCACCGTTAGCGCAAACAAATTTCAAGCGACCGTGAGAGTACGTTTGTTGAGTACTCACTGCACCCAGAGACGCCATGGTCTAATTTCCTTGCCAATCCCCAGATGCGAGAGGACCTGGCGATCGAGATGAGGATAAGGCGCGAGTAGTTCCTCGACGGGACGGTCTTCGCCTCCCCAGGTGTGGTTCGCATAGTCTCCCATCTCGCGAGGGAAGAAACAATAGTACGACAGCAAGCGACCACCGTTACAAGGCGAGAGCACGATCTTATCCCACTTGCCTTCCTGGCCACCCCAGTACTCAAGCGCGCTGTCCTTTGAGTAATCAACCAGACCCAGCCGAACAGCCTCCTCCGTAGTCACGTTAGCGTGCAGACAGCTGGAGGCTGCAGGCTTTCTTTCAGGATGAACCCCAATAATACCACGGACAACTGAGCCGATGCCATCAGCACCCACGATCAAGTCATGCCGGGCAGTCTCCCCGTTGGCAAAGGAGATCACTCCGGTACTTAGGTCGATGTCTTTGCACTGAAGATTTCTCAACGTTAGCATACCAACGATATAATCGGACCCTATAACCGAGAGAAAAGGTAGCATATGTCGCGACGAACCTGAAAATTGACCTTCAGCTTCGCAGGCGTTCCCTGGCCTTCCTCCTGCATAGCACAGTCCTTCAACATAGTATGCATATACTGCCGATGAAACATATTATAGACGTATCCCCAACGCTTCTCATAGTCCCCCAAATCATACACACTAACGGGCTCTCCAGTCTTCCAGTCCCGGTTAATCAACTTGCGCAGAATAACCGGATCGCCCTTAGCAACATCGACCCCCCATTCGTGTAACCAGCGAGTGCCATTTGCCGCGCACGAAATCGACGCTCCAACCTCGCCCGCGAAATCATGACGCTCATAGATAGTCACATCGTGACCTGCTCGACGAAGAGAGATGGCAGCAGCCATACCACCAATACCACCACCAACGATACCGACGCTCAGGCGGCGCCACGATGATTCATCGGTTGAGCCCATATTGATAACAGTATACCGGAGCTGTTAGTATATATTGAAGGATGAGAAGTAAAGTCACGGCAACCGATATATATAATGGTAGTTATTGGTATAATAACAAAGAAGACGAAGTTGAAGAATGAATCAACCAACACGAGGTGATGAGGACAAACGCAGCTATTTAACCTCCTCGTGATCTCACAACCAATCTGCAATACACTTCCAACTCAAAGCTACCTTTCTTTCCTTATCTTGATTGAAGGGTTCCATCGGTTGGCACAGGCGGGCGGCTGGGTGGCGGGCCGCGCACTTCAGTATGGTGCATTATCCGCCTCGGGCGGATCTGGTCCCTCCTTTCCCCTCCGCTCCGGGTATCTCTCTTGGCCAGATAACTTCCTATCTGTGAATGGGCTGAGCAAAACGGAAAAGGCACATTTTATTTCTTAGGTACACTATGTGAGATGATAGATAAGGAAGTGATTATCGTATGCAAAGCTGCGGTATCTTCCGACCTCGGGAGGCGGGGGGAGGTTTGGGGTATACTGGGTGAGGATAGGGAGTTTTGATACGGAGTTAGGAATGATACTAGTCCATGTGATATCTGCTAGTATGAAGTGAGTGATTTTGGAGATACGATGACTTGCTTGATGCCTGTAGATGTCTGGGTGGAGATAGATGTCACTGCTTTCCATCGTTCTGATATAGTATAGAAGCTGAGCGCAAGACATCTGTCAGTCAGTAAATCTAACTTCATTGCTGATTACACAGTGAGAGTAACGCCCGTTGCAGTACAGTTGTAGTACAGTAACATAGCATTATTAATTGATAGCCTTAGGTGATCCTTGACTGGTGTTAACGACTATATCGTTACTATATGCTAAGCTTACATAGTAGTAATACTACTATAATGGAAGTGTAGCACCTGATATAGAAAGATTATTCCGTTATTCTCATTACCTGCTGATATAGTTTTTAAACCTGACTGAATATAACTTATCTAGAAGATACTGTCGATTTATAAGTCGTGATGTTCAGAATATTCTATGGTAAGTGTTATACAACAAATACTACTATATATTCATTCACTTCCATCTTACTTCTATTCCACGCTTCTTCTAGTAGTTGACCGACCTTTTTCTCTTTCTTTGTCCCTTCTCTTCTCAGGGCTTTGCTATCTCTTTCTCCTGCTTCTCATCTCGATGTGATTCATCTACCCCGAAACTGATTAAATGTCATTTCTGTCATTTCACTGATTCTATGTAACCGCTATGTTTGTCATCCATAGCATCACCGAGACTGATTGATTACCTGCAAGAACTATATGTAGTATCATCGATTCCGCATGACTGCAACGCCAGTGTTTGTGTCACTTTTAGCCATCGAAACAAAAAAACCTGTATACAGAAGAAATCTAGAATTCCTGATCCTCGTCGCCCGCAATGATGACATTGTTGATCTGTTTCGGTTTGAGTTAGCTGCTTTGCCAGGGTGAAATAGAGCAAAACTGGTTGGATGACTCACCTTAAGAACCATACGGCAGAGCTGAGTAGCAAGCAACAGCTGCTGCCGCTTTCCGATCAGGGGGTCGATGGCGAAGTGCTCTCTCATGTCTATCGATGGCTGATTAGTAAAGATGCCTGCGGTTTCAAGGAAGGCCCTATACGCACCGTTGTTGCCGGTCATCATGCAGTCAACACCAAGACGGGTGTTCTTCTCCTTGACCTGGCGAGACTTGATCGAAGCCAAGGTCTCGATAGGACTGAGACCAGAGTTCTCAGCAAGTGCCATCGGGATGGCGTCCAAGGCGTCAGCGAAGGCGCGCATGGCGTATTGTTCAATTCCGGGACTCTGTTATATGACGTTAGCATACGACTAGATGCGGATTCTCAAAATATTAACGTACCTTGACAGCGGCATCCTCAACAGCGATGGAGCAGGCAATCTCAGCAGCACCACCACCATAAACGACACGGTTGTCACGGACCAGGTTACGCACGACGCAAAGAGCATCGTGAAGCGAACGCTTGGCCTCATCAATGATCTAGAGGAGAGTCAGCATCCTGCACATGTCCTCTGATATTTCAAACTGACCATCTTGTTGCTTCCACGAACGAACACCGTCACGGCACGGCTGTTGGCGCAATCTTCAATGACGAGCATCTTCTCCCGAGTGGTACCGAAGGTCATCTCACGAACACGACCTGCGGTTCCGAGTTTCTCCGAGCTCAGATCCTCGAAACGAGGAACAATACGACCATTCGTCGCGATGGCAATCAGTTCGATCTCAGGGCCGCCAACCCAGCGAACGGCGGGGAGCTTGTTCTGAAGCAGAAGGTGGTTGGCCTCATCGTCGAAACCCCACTGGCAGATGACTAGGTTGGCGCCAGAGTCCTTCAGTTTCTGAATCATCTCGGTGAACTTCTCCCGCTCATACTCTTGCAACTTCTTGAACTCCTCAACTGACGTAATGTCGAGCTTGTGCTTGGTCTTGGGCTTTGGGGGCTCAAATGGGCAGGTCAGGATGGCCAATTTGGCATCCCGAACCTCGTCGGGCATCTGAGGGTGGGAGAAATCTTTGTCGACAATGACACCCTTCACGAGGAGGGAGTCCTCGAGGGCACCTCCGACCTTGCCGTCAACCTTGATCAGCTCGAAATCAACATCCTTGCGCTCGAGGTCGGCCACGGAGAGAACTGCATCAATAGCGATATTCGCAAACTGGTCGTGAGACTTGGAAACACTGTTCCAGGGTCAGCATGCAGGGTCCAAGGGGCAAAAGGAGAAACCCTCGTACATCTTGCTACCCAGACTGGTCTTGGCAACCTTGAGCAGGTTCGAAGTATCCTCCTTAGTGAAGGGGATTTCATCACTGATCTTATCGAGTTCTGCAATGGCAATTTCGCAAGCTTGGTCGTATCCGTCTGCGATCCGGATAGGGTGGATGCCCTTATCGATGAGTTCGGCCGCCTGTTCCAGCATAGCAGCAGCCAACACAACGACACCTGTGGTTCCATCACCAATTTCCTCATCTTGAGACTTTGACAACTCAACAAGAAGCTTGGCGACGTTGTTCGTGATTTCCATCTTTCCAGTATCAACAAGTCAGAAACATCTCTAGTGTAGCGGCTGATGGTGTAGGACAAACCTGGCCGAGAATAGTGGCACCATCGTTTGTAACGGTAATATCTCCGTCGGGGGAGATCAGGATCTTGTCGAGACCACGGGGACCCTATAACTCCATTAAGATACTGCTTATTCTGCAAGTCCGGTGACGGTCCGTACCAGGGAGGTCTTGACGATGCTGGCGACCGTCTTAGCGGCAACAATGTGTGACTTCACCGCATCCGTGCCGTGCTGTCTCTTCTTCTTTCCTTGACTGTGTTGTAGAACCGGATTAGCCACTTGCCCTGAGTAAAACCGTCCAATTTGTGTTGAAAAGGTTCGAAAATCGGAACGTACTCCCTAACGACGATGAATGGCCGGCCCTGTTCATCCTTCATTACAGAAGCTGATGTAATGGTCAGCGAAAGATATCGAAAACGAAGCAAGTCCGGAGCAGCAAAAGGTCCCACCTTGAGAAAGATCAAGCTCTGCAAAAGAGGCCAAAGAATGTTAGTATAGTTGATGCCGAGTGAGGGGTATTGCAACATACGCATCGCCATTTTGACGGTCTGCCACTTGGCAGAAAACCCACTTCAGAGAGTCGGAAAATAAAAGGCGGCAAGGGGGTCAAAGATAGGAGCCAACGGATCAAGTAGACTCCCAAGACAGTTGATCGGAGCGATGGGGGGAAGGCAGAGGACCGGACGGCGGAGGGACTTGGAGGCACACTTGCAATTCGAAATTCTGGAGATGTCCAAAGCGGGCTAGTGAGCTGCTTTCTATATCAGGTATAGCGTGGTTTTCCCACCGCGCGCCCGCGCGACTCGGCATTTCTATCTACACCCGAAGCAACTTAACCCTCAGCTGCTTTATTGTCGCCCCGTCGCTGATGTCTATTTCTTTGTCATTCAATCTGTAATTACACTAAACCGTTGGACGATCTCTCGCGAAATCCGCCAAGCTGTTTTCCCGACTTCTCAGCCTTGCTTCTTTCGGAACAATGCCCCGTAAGTAGCCGCAAACTAAAACAGTTATGCTTTTCATTGAGACAAGGTCATATTAACTTCATTTCAGCGCCGGTTCCTGACATTTCCGATGACGAGTCGTCGAGTGGCGAGTCGATTCCCTATGACGATGCTCGATCAAAAAAGAAGGCGTCTAAGGATGACGATGAAGACGAGGACGAGGATGAGGAAGAAGAGGATGTGTAAGCTTGCGCGCGTGCGACCTAGTCGCGAGCAAGAATTGACGTGAACAGATACATTGTTGAGAAGATTGTGAATCATGAATGGGCCAAAAATGTGCGCGACATTATATCTACCCGTTCAATTGACCAACAGGGCATGCTTTAGCTAATGATGTGGCAGGGCGACCTCCTTCTTCAAGTCAAGTGGCAGGGCTACGATGACCCCGCTGACTTGACACTGGAGCCAGAAGAGAATCTACTGTATGCTGCTGGATGTCGTTTCTTTCAGCTTCAACAAAACTGATGGGTCGTTTACAGAGAAGGCGCGAAGGAAATAGTCGAGGAATACTTTCGAATTTTGGGAGGTCGTCCTGAAAAGCCACAACCGCAAACGAAAAAGCGCAAGTCGATAGGGAGACCTCCAAAGTCCGCGCCCGAGAAAACCCCCGAGCCCAAGAGACGCCGCAAGTCGCGGGCTGAAACAGCAACAGAGTCACCCGAAAAAGAAAAAGAGAAGGCCGATGAAGGTGAAAGCGACGACACATCTACGTGGGTTCCTTCGTCTCGCAACTGGGAGAAGGAGGTCGATACGGTGGAAACAATCATACGACAACCTGGAACGTCGAATCTGCTTGCGTTTATTAGCTGGAAGAATGGTAAAAAGTCAAAGGTCAACATAGAGATGTGCTACGACAAGTGCCCGAAGAAGGTGAGTTATCTGGGATCCGCGGTTCTTCACCGGCGCTGACTTGTAGCAAGATGCTCCAATTCTATGAATCACATCTGTAAATCATCCTTATCCATCGCCTCATAAGACGAGCATATGCTAACCACTCTCATTAGGGTCTTTAAGGAGGGCTAAACCTCTATTCGTTAAAGTTCGGGTTCTTTATTAATCATCGTCTAATTTACGACAGGCGCAATTGCAGATTAGTGTTGAAGGAGCAAGCATATAGGGCGTTTTTGAAGTTTCACATACTGGTTCCAGATAACCTAAGTGTAAGACAATGGCCTGGGCTAGTCTCGACATGGACTTTTCTTAGAGTCCTCCTGTTTGAAGGGAACCAACACCGGAATATAACGGGAATGCGCCAGCTGCTCCAGGCCTTCGCGAACTCATTCGCACCATTTCTCTTTGGATATCAATTGTTTCCCGGATTTTTATCTTTGTGTCTCTATTTAGCGTCTTAAGATCCATGTACATTATCATTAGTTCGCGGTTCTGGAACATTGAAATTGCGGCAGTCCTATTCAAAGGGTATCTAAAAGACCGGCCTCTCTGACCATGCTGAGGTACTCCCAGCGATTGTTGAAGGCCTCCGTACCATGCTTCTCCATGACTCGTTGGATGCCTCGAGTCTCGTTTCCTTCTATGCATTTGTCATCTTCAGGTGTCCAAACACCAGGCATATCATCCGGTATAGGTTTTCCTTCTACTAGGATAGCCAGGACCCTGTCAGCTAAATCTGGATCCATGCTGGTGCACCGCAGTGCCAGGTGTATTTGTTCTTCATGCTGAGCCTTTCCGTTAAGAAGTCGCTCGTCGATCCATGCGTCGATATCCTGCTCCATATCTTCCTCTTCAGGCTCATCGTCAGAAGGCAAAAATGGCAGCTCTAGAAACAGGGGGTCTGGCTGCGAAGGCTGGCGTGGCTCCTTGGCTGGAGCTTTCGATCCTTCAGTGGCCCCGCGTTCTCTCGCCTCTTTTGCCCCAGGAGTTGGTCGCTGACCGTTGGATGCTGTCGCTGAATGTGGTACTGCAGCCAGTTTCGTTTGAGGTCCGGAGATGAAAGGGTCTGGAAGGTCGATATTGACTTCGGTGACTCTTTTCTTCAAACTTGGCTTATTAGTACTGTCTACATTGCCTTCCCCAGGAGTATCCTCCGAAGCCCGTTTCCTTTTCTTGTCATTTGCTTGCATGGCAGTAGGCTCAACCCCTTGTGCAGACCCTCCTCGAGGCTCAGACTGGACCAGGCGAGTAGCTAAATTGGAGGGCCCATCAGGCGCAGGTTGATCAGTTGATTCTGGCATACCACCAGGACGTGGATGTCCCTTGAGCCTTTTGAGGTACCGATCTCGATATGATTGATACGTGTGCCTTGGATGCTAGTGGGATGACGCTTAGTATGCCTGCATTTCACAGCTCAGAGGGGGTTCTCGATACCTTCTCGGCTAGCTCTTGATAGATTTTGTTGCCTCTAATGGAAGCCTTAGGGTTTCTCTCGTGGGGTTGCATCCAGTCCCAGAGCAACTGGTCATCTTCGAGAGTATAGGGGATCTTATGACCTCTGGTGGGAATGTTGGTAGCCCCTACGGGCCGTGCTTCAGAAGGCCCGGCTCTATAATTCTCTAGATTCTGCAGCTTCCCCAGGCGGTGTGAGTCTTCGACATATTTGAAAGAGTACCTATATCCTGTAAGTGTCCACTGGATGGTAGAAGGCTAAAACAGTGTGCGCTGTTTTCCAGCGATGCGATTACACAAGTGAGTCAAGGATGGAAATGGCAGGAAACCTCACGTGTCAGAGGGTAAGTTCTTTCTCTTATGATCAACCAATCTGATATCTGCATCCTTCTCCAGCAGCCGTATAGTACCGCCGTTTTTCCATAGATAAATTAGTCACGCGTTCTTAAAAGCCATGTATAGTTGTAGTACCTCGATTAATTCCTTGAACCACTTCCGTTGGGGGATGTTGTGAGACAACCAGAACTGCTTCCCTTGGAAAAGGGGCGTTACTGCCTCTTTCAATACTCCACTATCTCCTGTAGTGCTCGTTCCAGTCATTATAATCGTCAGGTCAACAGCGCGAACGTTTCAAGTTGTAGACCCGCAGGTATACAGAAACACGTTATCACGTGTTCACGTGTTCCACGCGTGAGGAAGTCCAATCAAATATAAAGGGTGCAGGTGAGGGGCTTGATTATTCAATATGAAGACTAGCGAATTTATGCGAAACTAATGTAGAAATAAGGTTAGAATCAACTTAAGGACGGAGTACTTCAGATAAGTTTGATCCAAACCGTGATGTCCAGCAGTAACGCTCATTTCTTCCCCTTTAGGCAATTACGTCACGTGTCTGTTACTCGAAAATAAATACCCGGTGGACACTTGGGCGGCAGCATCAGCAACATGGCGATAGTGGTTGCAAGCAGGCGCGCCAAAGCCTGTCAACTGATAATGCTAGCTCTGGTCTAAGCGACAGGGTGGCATTATCCTTTCTTCAAAGCACTCACCTGCATTACGTTTCAACTATAAATTTGCCCCATACTAACAAGGTGAGGGCAGGCGACGGACTGATCGGAAGAAACTTCTCCAGAGATACGATCAAAATTCCATTCACGATGGGCGCTATAAGAACCATTGCACTTGTGATCCTCGGGATCTCTGGATTTGTTTTCGTGGCGCTATTTGGGAGACTCCCTGCGTTTCGGTAGGCTGCAGCATTTCGTTGTAAGGGCCGTGACTGATAGATGATTCCTGTAGCAAAACTCCCATTGGTTGGCTGTATAGAGCTCTTTGGATACACATACCTAACGGCCTTGTTTACCTTGACAGCTGGCTACTAAATGGCTGGCTGTCTCACTGCTGGACTTGTTCTGGCAGTTACATTCTGCACGAAAATCACCCGTTGATTCTTGTTAGTTCATGTGCCTAATATTCAACGGTCTCCTCTAATTATAGATGTTAGATATTCTTCTCTTCCCTTATGATTGCAGGGCAGTGTATGTTCATCCCAACTGCTTGGCCTAGGATTTCCACAGTCCACCATATCTGGATCCCGATCCTTGCCACAATGCCCTACGTTTTGCTGTATGCAAGCGTTACCACCAAGTCATTCATCACCACAAAAAATCATGCAGTGGAAATGGAACGCTATCCATACGATAAGGTCATCTTCCACCCGGGGCAGCGTTGTCGCACATGTCATATTGTCAAGCCGGCACGAAGTAAACATTGCAGCATCTGCAAAGCATGTGTCGCACGGCATGACCATCACTGCGTTTGGCTCATGAACTGTGTCGGACTTCACAACTACCACTACTTTCTTTCCATGATCTTGTCACTATGTCTCATGCTGCTCTACGGCTCATACCTGGGATACACTCTCTTGTATCAAACATACAACAGGCTGATACCATCGGACTCACCCTTGCGGACGACCCGGCAAACCTGGACTGGCTTTTGCAATATATGGGCTGTAGTTATTGCTGCTGATATTCGCATTGGTGCTATTACCTTGCTGATGACCATGACAGCACCACTGGCGGCCGCCTTTCTCGTGTACCACACCTACTTGATTTGGGCTGGTATGACGACCAACGAAAGCTCAAAGTGGTCAGACTGGAAAGAAGAGGTTGCAGATGGTATGGCTTACAAATCTAGCAAGGCTGAAATCTATAGCAGCTCACCCTTGTTGGCCGAGTATCAGAGTGCTCAGTCATTCTGGCCAGTGAGTAGTGATCAGGTACTCATTCTGACAGATGGTGAGCCGCCCAAGGAAGGGTGCTTGCTATCGCAACACTCCAATGAGATCACTCAGCCGAGCAACAAGGACGCTCCGATAGACCGGAGGTGGATTCAGGTGCAAAGTATGAAGGAGATTGACAACATCTATGACCTGGGATTTTGGGACAATCTGCGTCATGTCTTGGGCTTACCCATTCGACCAAAGGTGATCTAAGTAGATAGTTTGCTAGCTTCACTTGAATGCATATAAATCATGACTCTTGCAGAAAGCATGCTTCACATTCACTGGCCCTCTTGCATGTATGTACCTTGATGGATTACCCGAAATGGCAGTTGCCGGGACGGAGCCGGAAAAATTCCCCTCGACGGTTCAATGAATCTTTCTCCACCGAGCGTCCCTCATTGTCGTTGATCCCACACCCCTCCCGACTACTATTTGCGCGGTCAACACTGGACAGCTGCTTGTGCTACAAATCTTCACAAGCATCGTCAAAAATGGCCGACCGCACGGCAGCGGAAATCAAGCCGAAATGCACCCCCGCGGAGCTCATGTTGAAGGTCATTTTGACGGGGACCTTGAGCCACTACGAAACCCGCGGGATGATTGACGACAAACGCTTAGAACACATGCTCTCTGCTGGGAAGCAGATTCTATACAAAACACACCAGGAGAGCGACGTCAGGTACGTCGATGATTTCTGTCTTGGGCCAGAGTCACTGTCCAGTGGCCCACCACCATCTGTCCGCCACCCACTTCCACTCTTGCATACTGACCATTCTCTCGTGTAACAGACATAATCTCGGCCTATCACCGGATATCTGGCAAGGCTTCACGGACGTACTGACGAAGGCGATCCCGGTCCTCGAATCCCAATCGTTTGCCTGGAAGAGCCCACCGACGGCGAATTACGATCATTCCTCCTCCAACCTAATAGCCTACAATTATTTTTCGCTAGTGAAGGACATTGAGCGTCTAAATGATCTCTGTACGATCGCCCGTAACCTCCTTGCCACCACGAAGAAGGCGCAGAACATGGCGGCGGAGAAAGGTTTCGATCAGAGGATCTTAGCCTTGGTAGATACTTGCGTTAGAGTAACCGCGCGAGGGTTTGACGGGGAGACGAATGCGAGGAACGAAGAGCGCTGGCAAAAGGTTGTCAACCTTTACAAGCGTCTCCTTATCACCTGCTTGCAGTTCTTGCATAACTTCATCATGCACAACGAACAACGCAAGATGGTGCTATGGTTAGATTTGTTTGGGTACCACTCAACCGGCGACTCGAACATTATCCAGCCCAGAGAGCCCCTTGACCCCACTTGCAGTCAGCAGGAAGGCATGGCGCCCATCGTAAAGACGGGAGAGAGGATAGTAAATCCCCCGATAAGGGCTCTTTACGACCAAACAGCAGAGGATCTGCTCCTGGAAACCATCTCTAACTTTCCGAGAGAGCCCGCCACCATCAAGGAAGAGGCAGCCATGTTGCTTCTTGCTAACATCAAGGACCATATGGAGAAGCTGCTTGGACGCGATTTGACTGCCATTCAGGAAATGGGGAAGGATCCAGAACAGGTGAAGGAGATTCGCGCCGCTCTTACCGCCATACTCGGAGCCAAGGTTGATGGATGGTCTGATCTTCAGGACAGGGCTAAGGACCTACCTCCTGCTCTGCCAGAAGATGAACCGCCTCGCAAGAAGGCGATTGTCACGATTGACCGCAGCGCAACGGCTGGATTCCCACGTGTCTGCTGGACCGATCTTCCTGATCTCGGAGATTACGGCGCGCTCTCGGGTGGCGACGCAACTGTCATGGAGGAAGATATGAGCATGCCACGCTCGGCACAGTCGGCGGCAGAAACACTGCAGGAGGCTAAAGACGAGCTGATGGCTCGGTTGCAGGAGAGCTCCCAGATTGGCGACGGTGACCAGGACTATGACACTGGTGATGCAGGCACGGTTGGTGACGATGACTCGCGCAGTTTGGAGGCCGTTGCAGACGGAAGTATGGAAGAAGAAGAGGAAGAGGATGACGAGGATGATGACGACTATCGCGGCCGTCCAGGCGACCAGCAGCGGGGTCTCCTGACTGATATCCCACTTGTGCTGGGCCCTGCAGAGATCGAGGCGCTGCCAATGATAATCCAGGCTGGTATTGTGGATAGTTTTGGGCTAAAGGGCGGAGAGAGAAGTGGCTCGAGGAACATGCAGGCTCTCAGATGTCACATTCTGCTCACCCAGGAGACGGGTCGGAATCTGCTTCGCGAGCTACTGATCTTCATCGCTGCCTGGGATCTCCCTGATGACGAACTCTACTTCAAGATGATGGTTCAGATCATGGACGCGGTTTTGAGAAATGGTCTGATGTCTCATGCATACTCCGATTTCGGCCAACCTAAGGATATCATTTCGCCTGCGCAGGCAGTGGTTGTCAAGATCCTCACGCACATCTTCCGAGCCAAATACTCTCCTGCATCTGTTACAGGATCAACGCAGTCCAACGGAACAGCAACTAAGAACCCGGCGCCGCTTTCAAGAGTCGACATCCTTACTGTCCGGTACATCTTCACAATCTTCCGCGGCAACATCATCCCCGAAACTTGCGCTTTGATCTATCTGCAGGGTCAAATACGAGCTGGACGGGCTTTGCCTGAGGACTTCCCGCTGAATCTCTGGGACATGGAGCGGGTGTACGAGGGTGTCTACCAGTTCCTCGAGTTTTTTGCTGTGCTCACGGAGAACAACGACTGGAAGAATCTGCTGGTCAAGTGGGAAATTGTCTACGACCTGGTCACGTTGATCAAGGAGCTCGAAGCCAGCATTCCCAAGGGTCAGCTGAGCGCGCTCAACCTGGGACATAACAACCCTTCCAAGGAGCCTCAGCATACGGCTCCAGCACCGGTTGCAGTTGAACGCCCGTACGATCCCGGCGACCCGGACCCAATTGATGCCCCCGGCTCTCGGGCCGAATCCCCGCCAATCACCGAAGATCCGTCCGAGTTCGAATGGCGTAACCTCAAGAAACTCGTTGTGCTTGTTTTGTCATCTCTTGTCTGGAAGTGCCCCGAGGTGCAGGACCAAATCCGTCGCTACGGCGGTGTCGAGACC